TTCTTAGTGCCGTAATTTTGGTCAGGCAAAAAATATAAAACCCTCCATTAAAATGCAGAAACTCTGGCTGTATATTAGTGGAAATATGGTAATTCCTGGCGTTTCCAACCCAAATCAATACGTAATTCCGTCCGATCTTCGTCTAAAATGATGATGTTGATGGTGCCAGTAGACGGGATGTGTATAGAGACGCGCTTAACAGATTCCCACGCCGTGGAGCCGTGCATTGGATGAGAAGAATAGGCCATGGGGGGAAGGGCAGCGGGAGGAGGGGCTGTGCTCGGAGGGGGAGGGGGCCTAAAGGGGCATGAAATAGAATACCTCGTGGCGTGGCCGGTGGATCTGCCGACCAGTTAGAAAAGGAGAGAAGGGCAGCCCAGTCAAAACCACGCTACTACTAGCGTATTGTCCTCTAACCGGGCAATCGGGGCTTTTTCGAAACCATCTAACTATTATTTTTGTACCGATTTTAATTCAGGGATGTTTTGAAGTATGTAATATATTTATAGATTATCGCATTTCCCGTTTTTTATAGGTATTCATTTTTTCCTGAATTTTTTAATTCACGGCCGTTTTAGGATTTGTAATCTAGTTTGTAGCTTGTAGCCTCATAAAATATTGTTCTAGAGAATCTTTTTATCCTTAACCCCTTTGATTCCGTCTGCGTAGTTTTATAATGTAGTTTGTACTTACATTTCTCTACTGTCATATTTTTATGCAAAAAATGAGTCAGCCTCCCACCAGTGGCCCGCTCGGATTATCCAATTTGGCCCAATAGACTGCCCAGAGGGCCGTTTCCACCCCTCGATTTCAAAATCTAGGCACTTCCGCGATTCTGTTTCGGCCTCTTACTTCCAATTTTTGCCCAACTAATTTCTCTTTCAGACGTTGTTGTTCCGTGTTTTTGTTTCGTGCAGATTTGGTTAGATGAAAACACGGAATTTTCAGACAACTAAATGGATCATAGAGCAGATTTTTGGGCGGTGGACTGCGCTATAAAATTAAAGCAATTTTTTTTGAGTTATACAACGGGCAGTTCAGACCATGTGGTCACACTTTCGTAGTAGTTTTCAGTGTCCCAACACATCTTTCCTGCCATCCCACCTTACATCCCCCATTTTTATGCCCTCGCCCTAACAGTTTATGTCCAGATGCACTTGTAGAAGCTTTCTCTCTTTCCTTAGGCCCAATAAATCTTGTTGCAGCCCTCCCAATAGCCGCTAATTGCCATATAAGTACGGACATAGCTGCCCCCGATAGTTTATTGACCTCATTTTTGCGCCCCGCTTTTCAGAAATGCAATCCGGCTCCAAAAAACCCCTTCCAAAAATATCATTTAAGAAAACCCATTATCAAGACCCTGGCGCGTTGGGAAATAAAACAAAGGATGATATTATAATGACGCACAACCGATGCTCCAAATTTATCCGAAAATCTGTTTGGAAAATTTATATTTTTTCGGTTTGTTGACGTGCCTTAGGGATCACAAGGTTGTAAGGGACTATCACTACCTTTTACAACCTGCCTTTAGTTTTGATTTCACCGTAAGAAACCGGCAGGATTATCTTATCAAACGTTGTCCCTTGTGTCTTAGCGTATCGTTTTTGTGTTATCACGTTGTCAACACGAGCAAATGCGCCAAATTTTATGGTATAAATGCAACTTTGATAAACCTTGCTTGAAACTGATTTGAAATGAGTGCCACTCGAAATCGATAGAATCGAAATTGTGGGTTATGACTGGGAATACAAGTGGATTGTTTGTGAGGAGGGGTTGGACAGAACCCCCTATAGGGAGACAGAGAATAGGAAATGTTCGAGGTCAGATTGGCAACACGCGGTGTGCTCGTGTGGTCAGGGGGCCTCATTTGCCTATAGAGACCCCTTTCCGACTAGGGTACCCCCATTATTACAGCACCATTCTCTCTCTCTCTCTCTCTCTCTCTCTCTCTTTCGTTCTCTCTAACAATACCCACATACTCTTTACACCTATACCGCAACAAGGACAAACCGCTATTTTGTCATCAATCACTAGGACTCTTTGCAGGAATCTTTCGAAGTTAGGAAATTTGCATTTTGGAATGAATTAGCGCTATTACCTCTCAACCCTAATAATAGGAATATTAACCGGCTGTAAGTGCGAAATTAGGCTTGTGAAACAGCATATGCAAATGAAGAAACTTTCCTATGTCTTTAAACCTTGGAACTAACATATGAGACGCAATTTTCGCTGGGCAGTAATCTAAGCCATCGAATACCTTGGGATACTTATTTCTAAACCTGAGATTCTGCTGTATAGCTTCTCACCTAGCATTTTTTTCGTGCGAAGTCACTATTTTTTTAATTCCGCCTAGGCGCTACCTACCTATGTATCGATGCCATTAAAAATTTTCAGTCGTCTACAGCTCCAAAAATTTCATCTCACCTTTCCGCCCCAGAATCCGAATGGTATGATTATTTATGGCGAACGCGACAGGTGCTTCACACCCCGGGCGCGCGGAACGAATATTTCAGCGACCTATTTTTTTTGTCTCCCCACAGATTTCTCGGTTTTTTTGCGGCTGGATAGATCGCGCACTCCTCTCCAGTATATAGCCCGGTCCCATTGCGTCTATAGAGGGCCATCAATCAGGGAGTAGCCCTTCCTCCTCTTCTTCATCCTCCCCCCTCCGTTTCCACCTCCACTCAAAAACCGTCGCTCGAAACCAGATGCCGGCAACTCTCGGGCTGTGTGTGACACTGGGAGGGTCCGGTGGTTTGTGCCGGAATAATTGTTCCATACTGGTATACTTAAATTATGATGGAGCAGCTTTTTGTGTGCGGTATTTCTTTTACTATGCGCCCAGCCCGTCTTTTTTTACTAAAATACCACATTCTTTATCCATTTCCGCCGATTCTATCGGATTCCATCCCTTCGAACTGCTTAAGAAAAGTAATAATGAAAAATAATGTTTAAAAACTATTATTATATTTTATAACCCTTATCATGTGCCGAAACATTGCTCTAGTTCGTCAGACCACCCGGGCGTTCTATAACGAACCAATTTGTCGCGTTCCGATGATATAAGGGGCCAATGTTTCCTGGACGGGGGGCAATAAGGGGCTGGATTCGCTTGAGGGCCTCTTTAAGGGTGCATTCCGCTTCACGTTGTGGATCTGAGGGTGGATATATCACTTCCGCTTGAGCCTCTAATAGGCTCTACCTCTCGTGTGTAGCACCATAAGCCCTTTAATATCACAAGAAATTTGAAATTAGTTGTTTTGCGCTCTTTTATACAAAGGATTGAAGTCACTTGGGCAAGGTAGCATGATCTATTCTAAACTTTTTAATTGGGAATAAAATTCTAAGTAATTTACAGGGACGGAATTTTATGTAAGAGGAAACAAGGCACAGATTAACTATAAACATAAACTGTTCCCTTAAATAGATCAAAGCGTCTTTCCTAAAAGGCCAGTCACCACAAACCCTTTCCCCCCTTCTTCCTCCCTTCAACATCTTTCTCAATACGTCTTCTGCCCCTCCTTGTGGCGCGGTGGCCGCTTCCGGACTGCATTCAAGGGTTATGCCAGCTGCTGCTACGCCGCGACGGCCATTATCAGGGCGGTACCTGGGCCCTTTTTCTTCACAATGCCCATGTCTTCTCTCCAACATTGGCCCTCCTTCTTCTTCCATCCACTCCCTTGCCCTAGGCCATTTTTTAGGCCTGCCTTGATTGCCCAGTTGCTTCTTGAGGTGCGATTTTTTGGTCTGGTTTCGATCCGATTGGGAGATTTATTGACTGAGTCATGGGGAGCCTTAATCCGTTTCGTCTTTCATTGCCGGAAATTACTAACGGCATTGCATTAATGTCCTTGGAATGCCCACACTAATCGCGTTTCCTTTGTCGCTACCGGTAAATAGCATCTGCCGGGCGGATGCGCTTTGATCTTCCAAAATTTTTCTCCTAGTAGTCCTTTCATTGGTGCATAATTTTGATAAGGATAGGGTATATAAACGCGGAAGCCTGGGACAATTCATTCCTGCTCTAAATTCCTATTCCGACTATCCCATCCTAGCTATTCTAGGCCGCTAATCTTCGGTGTAAGTTTCAGCGAACGTTTTGAGCCGTTTTGAGCTGAATTTTGCGTTAAAATTGGTACTTTACGCCGTTTTTAATCGGTTTAAAATATTTATAAAATTGGATTTGGGCTTTTGGAGCAGGAATTGAGGAATTATTGAGCCGAGGACTCGAAAATCCAGGAGAAGAGGGGTCTCTTACGGGTATATTCCTTGTTAACTTTTATTGTCCCAAAAACATGTTGTGGTTGTACATGCGGGGTAGATGGCTGTCAGTACATCGAAAAGCCTGTCAGCTTTAGGGTCCATCCTTTCGTCTCCGAGAACAGATTACCCCAAATGATAAATGGGTGTCCGTTCCCCCAAGGGTCGTTTCGTCCCTTCCACAAAAAGCATAGCAACCTTTGGCCCCCGCACAACATAGGCATTTCGCTTTTATGTCCGGCAATTCCGGCTACTGCAACTTGAGCTCGAAGTGCGTTTTAGTAAAGTGAAAATGGTCCTGTTCTGTAAAGAGAATCTACGAGGCGTTCAGGAAAACGGTGGATCCGGCCTTATCGGTTGATCCCAAAATTCGTCCCTAAATTTTCCAGTTTGACCTTTTTCAATAATTTTCATAAATTTCCGGATTTTTTTTAGACATTGCATCGATTTGCATAAACTTCCTGTGCCGAACACCTGATCTAGCCAGATCTTGGGCTATTTTGCGTTGTAAAATAATTTTAATTAGCATTTCTCTACGTAATTAGGTCCGGGAAAAACTTCTGGAGGTGAAAAAACGTTTCGCATCACTTTCATTTAATATCGGGGGGGTCGATCTGCGCCTTCTGGAGAAGATCCGAACTTCCATTATTGTTTTCCATAAGCCTCTCCCTTAAATTCCAGCTCGTTGCATCTAAAATATCGATTTCAGCTTTCAAAACTACACTACGATCCAGACAACGATGTCTCTGCCTCGTCATCTGCTAGCCTTTGCTGCCCTTTTTGCCGTTGGCCTGGCCCTCGATTGTCACTGCACTAAGGATACCGAAACTGTGAAATGTGTCGATAAGAAGTGCACTACTGATGGATGTAAGTTCACCTTAAATATACCCTTTGGCTAGGTATCTATTAATGCTATCAGACCAGACCATAACTCTTTTGAAAAATGCCCTTATGCCCTATCCGTCATTTTTGGGACACATTTATGTCCTGCGGACATAACAACAGGAAGTGCGCGCCACACTGCCCTCTTTCCGGCACCATTAATTCCCCGTCGTTTTTTAGCGGCAAGAGGAGTTTTCCTTCCGAATCACCGACTCGGGCGACCAGTGCGATAAAACCACACCCCGAGTAGCCGGCTTTTTTTGTCCTTAGCCGCCCACCAGGAAGCCGACCTCAATGGCATATAGTGGGAGAGAATGGGTGAAGGAAAGGTTGAATGGGGGGATCAAACAGCGGGATGGGCTAAAGGTTCAAAAATTAAAGATAACTTAAATATTAAATTATCCGGTCGATGGATACCTTAATAATTTAAAATGAATTTTCATAATAACCTACTAAGAAAACATATGCTTTTGGGTATTTACTCCATTAAAGGCTTTCGGACGCATATCTCGTCTAGTCAAACTATTAGCTTAGTTTTTTTCAGATTCTAAAGATAATCAACCAACCCTTCCAAGTAGACCTTCCCCAAAAATTTCCAATTTTTTTGTTCTTGTGACTCATTGAAAGCCCCCTTCCACCTGACTAGTGAATGAAACAATTCTCCAGGCGACTGGTCTGACCGACCGGATGTAGCCCTCCCGGAAGTCGTTGGTGACGGATTTTCAGGCCACGCTTACCCCCCGTTCGACCTATATCCAACCTACCCCACAGGGTCCGATGAATTTCCAAACCCCAGTCAAATGGCCTAAAAAATACACAAAATAAAAATGGAAAAATATAGGTTACGTATTTCAGTTTGCATCATGATGGACCATCCGCTTCACGGCCGTCACTACACCTGTAATGTGCGGGGATTGAATAATGACTGCATGTAAGTCATCAAAAAAAATTGTCCACTTTAACTCAAATTTATAGTTAAAAGGTTTAAAGGGTTTATAAAACCACTAAACACTAATTTCAGTACCCGCGAGGCCCGCTCGGGAGCCCAAGTTGAAGTCTGCGGATGCACGGACGTTGACAACTGCAATCTCTTGAACTGGCCCGTCAAGGAGGGGTAAGTTTGGGGATCAAAACAACGCCATAAAAGTGGTAAAAAATAGTGTTTTGGGCTGAATGGGAATAACAGGTGGTTGTTCGGTTTTTTATGTTCTAGGGGCTAGTCAGCATCTGCTAGGTATATTTGAATTAACTGGGAATTATGGACGTACTTAAGGCATTAATAGAAGATCAAACACGACTCGCTACCGTTTTAAGGGTTGAACTCTCCGGTTAGCAAGGGCAGTTTTTAAATGGCCGTGGTATATCCTAATTGGTGTTTGAAGTTACAGTCTTTAAAACCAGACGAGCATCTAAATATCTTTAAATTTCTTTAAATCTCTTTAAATTTATTAAAGAGCACTTTATTAATGCGTACTATTTCAGAAAAGTCATTTCTGACGGAAGCAACCACGCAGCAGCAACAGGTGCTGATCCCGACTCCGCAGCCATGGGCAGCCACTTGATCGCGATGATGTTGAGCGTTGGATTGGGATTCTTCTTCTTCTAGATATCTTCCAAACCCTCATTTACTAAAAACCTCAAGTCTTTTTAAAAAACTACTCTAAATTCACGACGATATTCGTCGAGCCAAAATCGCTCCTAAATTTGTCCCGATTCCCGAGATGATGTGATATGCGTGGCCCTCACCGAGTCCGATCAGTATGCCATTCCCTCAAAGTATTCCAGCCCCAGTCCTTTCAGTCATCATCTTCCGATGACAGCTAGCAAACAAATTGTCAAAACGTAGGGAAACTCTTCAGTTCCAAAACCCAATCGAACTTCTGAATTCAAAAATTCGAATCAGATGACCTCCCCCCACTATTAATCTTCTCCTTCTCAAATTTTGAAGTGTCCTTCCATTGTCCCTTCCATCTCTCCCTACTCCATATATTTGTGACCAATTTCATGTGAAAATGCGGGCCTCTTCTTGTTAGATTTTTCTTGGTATTTTTTTCTTAGGTCAGCTTTTAGTCGGCCTGACATTCCACTTTGCTCATGAAAACTACTTTGAGCTACTCCGGAATCGATTGAAGATTCGTTGGGTTGTTGAGTCTGAGCTAATGGCTTAGGGTCTCAGCAGCTGACCTCTTCAGTCGCGATACATTAAAGCTCTCATTGTGCAAAGGCTACATGCGAATCATATATATCGTTTCGAACATTGTGCTTCTGGAGTTGTAATAAAGTTTTGCAAATTATTGGGCACAAGCGAGCATGGGATTTAAGATACGGAAAAAGGCGCGGACCAAAACAAGCGATCTATGGGCTTTTTCGCTGCGATATGTCCCGGAAAAGCACGACAAAAACCTCAAACAACGCGAGGACGAGGTGCCCATCCATACCATCGCGGTGTGGCCGTTTTTGCAGCAAAACCATGGTGCAGCTGGGTAGAGTTGGGCGGTAACTTGAGTAGACCGTCATATTGGTACCGTCTAAATCGATTTTCGATCTGAAATTCGTATTCTTGGAAGATCGCCCATGGAATTAATGGAACACGGGTTTGGCAAGCAACTCGCCGTTTGTTAGAGTTCGAAACAACAAACCTTTGCTATCAGATTCCCCATAATAAAAGAAATTATTCTGCTATGGTTTGGTCCCCTTGTTTCTTAGCCATCTGCGGTCCCGTGGTGATGACTCAGCCCCTATAGCCTCGCCGCTAAAATCTTCAACATGATGGATTCACAAATTAACAGGCTAAATCACACTTACGCTTTTCCCCGATTTGTTTCTGAAGGCATACAAGTAGCGCATTGAAGTGTGCGCATTTTCCTCATTCTGTTCGGTCCCAATTGACGATGTTTTCACTGATTTTACAGATCGATGATCAACCTATTACTGTTTATCTTTTTCGCCTACCATGGGGGTTTTTCGGCCAAATTTCCGGGACTAACCGAATGCTTTTGCAACGAGGATGACACAAATGGGCTTTATCCGTGCAACGAGGATGTTTGCAACGCGCCAAGTGAGTTTTCCCCAGGAATTAAGGTACCCAAAGAGTGGGGTGGCGTGGCGTTTAGCTACCGTACCCGCCTTGTCGCACTTCCGAGTTCCTTTAGGACTCTTTCCTAACCCAACACTAAATTAGCAACTGCTCATACAAAATTGAAAAGTTCAGCAATTTCAGAGTGCGTCATTCAAGGCCAAACCAATAATGTAACCAACGAAAAGCTTGTCTACGCTTGTGCTCATGATGCCGGAATTGACGACAAGTGCTAGTAAGCAATACTTCCACGGACAATTTTTGCTAAATCGATTAGAGCCAATGCTGATTTTTAGCGTTCATATGAACCGGAAGGGCGTTGTTACCTTTCACTGCTACTGTTCTCACGAAGCACATTGCAACCTGCATTATCAGGAACTCAGGTATACACGGCTTACGATCTATTCAGCGATCACCGAATTTAGCGCAAAGCTCGAATTTGCCACCAGAACCCGTCGTATCCCATTTATGAGGAGTGCTGTAAGAGTTAAACCCGAAATTGTAATCATGGACAAGTCGGAAGACGAGAAGACAATCCCAAACTACTCAGATCAAGAGCTCAACCGAATGTTTGTTGTTTTTTACTAATTCTCGGTAGTAGTAAAGGCGAATCCTCTGCCTCATTAGGTATCTGATGCATAGAACATCTGATTTTTTACGTTGAGTTTTCAGGGATCCGACCACCTCCAATGAACCCACGGCCCTAGCAAACTGGCTAATTCTTCGCTCCAAAGCTTACTCCCTGCATTTCCTTGTCATTTTTGCTTTTGTAATGTTTTACCTCGCTTATACTAAAAAGAATGCTCCTCTCAAGAAATGAAAATTTAATTGAAACTGGCGAAGGGATCACAAATTGGCATATTTCGCTGCATATCTGTACCCGGGAAGCGATCTTAGCATTTGATTTTGAGGCGGCCGGTGCCCGTGTTTTTTGGAAGATTGGAATACTGATGCGATCGGAGTCTATATGCCACGGGACGTTTTTCATTCACCATTCCTTCTTTAGGAACTAGCGTTAGTAGCGTTATTTCTAGTTAGTATTACATCTGAAGCAGTAGAGGATGCTGTTGCTGTTTCTTCGGCGATTATGAGTCGATGTCTTTTAAAAAAGGTTTGATGAGACGGAAATTTGATGTTTTTAAACTTGAATAATTTTTTCTATGATAGTCATTGAACCCTGCATTAGAAGATTAACGTAACTAGTTTGAATAATACCACGTGAGGTCCGAACCAAGTCAAGCCCGAGCGGCACCTGGTCAAGTCAAAAATCCTAACAGACATCCAGTTCAAGCAATGAGTAATCATTTCAATCTTGTACACAGTCTATGTTTTCATCTGCCCCGGGCCTACACAGAGATTGTAAGCATCCGATCGACACCACCCCGTTTTCCACGGCCCAAAAGAAAACATCGCTCTTTACCGAGTCGCCCATTCGGCCATTTTTCGCGAAATTCATCCTACCCTCATTCCCTACCCTTTGAAATGGCCGATAGACGGTTGGTTCCTTTCTAATTCTGAAACCAGGCTTTGACATTGAAATCTAGAAACTGCATCTGATACTTTAGGACTATTTCCTTCGCAAACCCAGTGTATGAGGAGCCACCTTTGGAGGAGCCACCACCCAAACATTGGGGCTCACAACGTCTTGATGATTACAAAATAGATGCAAAAATTGGTCAAGGTGCTTATGGAAAGATTTACAAGGCTGTGAAAAAACACACAGGTCGGTTCTCATTTTTTGATTACTTGTCGGAATAATTTTGGTTGTCCGGTTTTTTAGCGTCATTAGAATTAAAATTGAATCAATACGCTAACTTCTACTTTTTAGGTGAAGTTGTGGTGTTAAAGAAATTTGCAATGGATGATCGGCGACCTTCGGTTGGGTTAGAGCGTGAGGTTGAGGTAGGGCCATTTAATTAATTCTCAAAGGCACAGGAAAAAATTAACTCGTGAATTTTAGCTGCTACGGCCAATTAGCCATCAAAATATTATCCGGTTGATTGATATGATTGTGGAGAAGAGTAAGGAGGCTGATGATGATGATCCTGGTTTGTGCTTTGATTGGGGTTATGGCATTTTTGCAATCGTTTCGCAGAAATGGGAAACGAAGCTTGCTCAGTTTTTCAAGCGCTTTCGGAAGAGCTAGGTCTCGTCCCAAAACTTCATTTGGGTCTAAAAACGGTTCCTTGTGAGCGCGAATAGCACCTGCCATTTTTCGTTGGTTTCTGGTGCTTAACACTCTCGATATTACACTTACAGAATGGTCTTTTCGTCCCCAGATTTTTTTAAATATTAAATTTAGTGGCCCATTACCTCGTCCTCGAGTTTGTCCACCATGATCTCTACGGATTGTTGAACACGGACTCCGTCATGTTTACCGTACCCCAGATCGGTGCGCTTTTCAAGCAACTGATGGAGGTGAGGTTCCTTGGACGGATTAACATTTTAGGGTGTCGCTTTTGCGCATCGTAAGTTCATCATGCATCGGGATATTAAATCGACAAACATTTTGGTGTCGAATAGGTGGGATGGTGCTTTATTAGCACACCAAAATTCCAGGGGCGTCGTGAAGCTGGCTGATTTTGGATTGGGAACTTATTATCACACGGGTGCTGAGCGTCGCGTGCACACTAATGAGGTTCAATGCACTCCATTTTAACCTATTTAATACATTGTTAGGTGTGTACGCTTTGGTATCGCCCTCCGGAGCTACTGTATGGGGAAGAGTGCTATGGGGCGAGCGTTGATATTTGGAGTTGTGGGTGGGTGGCCGTTAATTTCATTTGAAATTGGCATAATAGTGCACGTGTGAAAAATTATAATCTAATTATCCTCCTTAATTCTAGCTGCGTTTTGGCAGAAATGTTCCTTCGACGTGCTCTAATCGCCGCTCAAACTGAAGCAGCCCAGATCGACGCCATCCACAAGGCAAGTGAAGAAATTCCTTGTATATAGCAGCCGAATTTGCAAGAAGACGTAAGTATATCCAAAGTATGTGCAGATTTGCGGTACGCCCACCAAGGCAACATGGCCCGAATTTTTTGTGATGCCAAAATACAAGGCTTTGGCTCCATCGAAAGTGTACCCGCGGTCACTGCGAAGCCATCTTGAATTGTGGGTTTTATGATGATTTTTTATAATTTCCTGCTATAGCATAAGTATTCCTAATAAGAGAGAGAGAGAGAGAGAGAGAGAGAGAGAGAGAGAGAGAGAGAGAAAGAAAGAAAGAGAGATATCTGTACTCTGGTATTTAGCGTCCCATTCGAGCCGTTCGACCTCCTCGACAAAATTTTGGTCTCAAACCCAGGAAAGCGCCCGCGTGCGGTCGATATTCTAGATCATCCATTCATGAAAAATACTCTTGTCACTCAGGTACTTTTCATTTCTGTGAACAGGCGATTTTGGTAGGTGCTGCCGATTGAACTGCCAGCAGAGGGATGTAATGCTCGGTCAATTAATAAAAGCCGTCATCAGACGTCAGTTGCTTTGCAGAATTCTTGAGAGTTATGATTTTTTACAAAAGCGGGATGCGGATATTTGGCATGTTTAGCCCGACGCCACCAACTACTCCTCCAATCCAGCCACCCAGTCGGCCCCTGAAACGTACCAAGGCACTTTTCGATTTGCGCCGTAGGTTCTAAACGTTGAGCTGTGTCAGTTTATTGATAACCTTAACTGCAAATTACTTGCAGTAATTTTTGTGTTGTTCCCTCTTTTATTTCATACCCAAAAATTTAGGTTTCTAATTTACATATTCTAACGTGTGCCTCTCTTTAATTGTATTTAATTTATTTACTGATCCTTTATTTTTTTTTATGATGTAATTCGTCAATAGGTAATACTGTGTGATAAACTAGTTTACTAACGGATGTATGTCTGGATTCTCAAACTTTGCTGATATTTTTTCTAATCCTAATTAATGACGATATTTAACAATAAATTTAGCCGCTAAAATAGAGTCCAATAAACCAATTAACTAATTGAAATGCCTGTATTAATTCTCAACTTTCCGCATTGATTTCATCTAATCCGAACTAACGAAGATTATCCAGTCTATGACTGAGGTTTTGCTGACCTTCATACCGTATCTATTGGATTAACAGCGTCCCCCGTTAGAGGGTTAGAGTGCAGAGAGAGGTCAGCCGTCCATCTTTTTTTTCCCCGTTCCTCCCTATAGTTGTCTAGCTGTCCGGACTGTGAATCATCCCGTTCAGCCATTCCCCCCAAGGGATCCATTACCTCCTTCGACCGCAACGCTCACTCCACCTACTCATGCGTGCCGTTTTTCAATATTATATATCTCCATATTTTTCTCTCCAAATGACGCACGGGCGGGGTGATTCATTGCCGGCAAACCAGCTGGCGGCACGCGGCTCTTTAAGAAATTGACAAGAATTTTCTTTTACTTATTGTTATTTATTGTTAGGCCGTATCTCTAATCTTCAACTTGCTTGCAATTATGAAGGGTCTGACCGAGTATTTTTATTCGACTAAAACGGTAGCGGCGGCTGAGGTTGGAATTCTAGAATAGACGGGAACAGGAGTATTTCATTAAAATTTTTATCTAGCTTGAATAAAATTAACTAGAAATACGTCTAGCCAAATCAACAGTTATATAAATTCTAGTGGTATTCTGAACGTTTTTATATTAAATTAAAACGTATCCTAAGATACTTTATCCGTAAATCTGCGTTTATAGAAATCTGCTGAAAACTAAGACAAAATGTCACGAGAATTTGAATATTTATTGAATAAATTTAAATGAGATCACGCATCTTTTTAGCTCTAGTCTTTTCTATTTTAAATATTATTAAAACAGGCTAGCCAAAATTATGGATCCGGTTGACCCTTTTTTGCCCTCGGGGCATTCACTCGAGCTGCGACATCAATAGTTTTTCTGGTCAGGTGGCAGATCGGACCTAGACAACACCCACTACACTCTTTCACACACATTGGAATATTTCTTCATTTTGGAAGGCGACACACATAATAGAAATATTTAGCAGATAGCTCGTTATATAAAAATACATCTTATCAGACTTTTTCTTCTTAAACGATAATGCCTAATTCCTCCAAAAACATCCTTCTTATTCCGCCCCATTGAATTTCTCATTAATCTCTTTCCGGAGGCTTAACGAGGTCGCCAAGGAAGGGCTAATTTGTCGTATCGGCCAACTTATCTCTATGGAGATCCACGGACCCCCATTTCTCCCTAGGGACTCTACACTAGCTCTTCAAACCCATTCGGAAGTCCATAAAATGGGCTACTATCGGTGTAGCATGAATTCCAATAATTTCTGTTATATTTTTGTTACTTATTAAGAATTGCAATTTCATGAACACGATAGTTTCAGTTGACATGGAAGCGGAGGTAGAGTATGAATTCCGCGCTAACGAGCCCGATGAGTTGTCCCTTGAAAAAGGAGAATTGATTAAGGTACGTTTTAATTGCTATTAACTACGATTTTATGTGAAGCAAAATATGTTTCTTTGACACATACCTTTAATTTCCAGATCCTCAGCCGAGATGAAGACCCATTTTGGTTCAAAGCCGAAAAAGATGGCGTCCAAGGTTTTGTCCCCTCCAATTATATCAAGATGAGGGATCATCCTTGGTATTTGGGAAAGATCTCGAGGAGAGATGCGGAAGCCCTCCTAAACACTGCCGGAACCGCAAATGGAACATTTTTGGTGCGACATTCGGAGAGCAGTGCCGGAGATTTTTCAATTTCTGTAAAGTGAGTTGATGCAAAATTTACTTACCTGTTAATTCCACTGGAAATGGCAAAAATTTATTCGAATTTTCAGATTTAACGGCGCCAGTGGAGAGACAGGAGTTCAACATTTCAAGGTAATCGTACAACTCATTATTTTACGGCTTTTATTTGATTAGATTCTTCATGACGCCGACGGGAAATATTTCATTTGGGATACGCGATTCGTTAGTATCAACCAACTGATAAACTATCATCGGACGGCTTCAATTTCGAGGACGGAAGTGATTCTGTTGAGGGATATAGAGGTAAGGAATGTGACTTGGATGGAAACAGGTTAAATTTTTGGTGGCGCTAGATGTCGCATAGAAAAACAGCGAAAGAGATAAAACATCACAGCTTTCTTATTTGAGATGCTAAAATTCGTATATAATATTTATTCATACACTAAATTATAGTTTTTTTGTAATCAGCACACTGATAAAATAAAAATCCACGTAAATAAGTATTTTAAGGTGGAAGCGACATTTGTGCAAGCCCTATTCGACTTCCAACCGCAAGAAGAGGGAGAATTGGCTTTCAAGCGTGGCGACATCATTAAATGTAAATTTTTGCTCGAAATATATATTTTACAAATTCAAGGGATCATTAGAACACGATCTCTAGCGTTACACTCCTAATTCTTTCTTGCAGTGCTCAGCCGTGACGACGAGAATTGGTGGGAAGGCAAACTGAACGAGCAAACGGGAATGTTCCCCTCGAATTACGTGTGCCCATTCAATCGGACGACGGCCCAATAAGAAAATGATTCGAGATTGACGGCTACAAGACGATCCGTTTTGCCCGGCCTCCATCTGTCCCACTTCCTGTGATCCATCGTCTAAGCCCATCAAAAACTTCGTCGAAAACAGTCAGCCCCTACGTGTTGCCCCCTTCAAAAGCCCGTATCGCCTCCCCCACTCCCTTGCTTCAGATATCAGCAACATTCCCAAAAAATGTTTTTTTTAATGCAAAACTACGGTTTGACTTATTTGTAGCGTAAAGGTGAGATGGAACGTAATGGCCAATTACCAAGGCGTTCCTTCTAAAATCCTTTAAATTTGCATAACACGTAGAAATACCGTCCCCTTTCCACGAATCCGATGCCATGTGTAGACAAGTCCACTCGGGAAATTCTAGGGTATCAACTAGCTATGAAATTGTGTATTTCTGTTTTGCTTAGTAACTATAGTGTCTTACTCCCTGCTTTATTCTAGGCTCGGGGTATCATTAATGCCTATACCCTGCCGAGATCCGCCATTCCCAATCCTTCATATACCATTGCCTACTTGTTCTTTTGACCTTGCCCCCCCAATCTCGCTATGCTCTGTGTCATCTTACTTATGAATTTATTTTTGCCTTTTCTTGGTCCTGCGCCCTCATGGCAAAACAGTCACTCTGACACCCTGTTCTTCCTAGGATTTTTGTGGTGATGCGCCCGATTTTGGAATCTCAACTGATTTGGAGGTTTCGTGTGCTACTCCCCCCGCGATCATTGCCTAATTGTATGATTTCGATAAACTACATTGAAAAGCGTTTGAAATACATGAAAATCCGTTGTCTGTGTATGGAAATTCTGGACTGGTTTGATAGGCCCTTCTTGTCCGTCGGCCCCCACCGCCTCGATAGCTCAGTTGGGAGAGCGTTAGACTGAAGATCTAAAGGTCACCGGTTCGATCCCGGTTCGGGGCATCTTTTTGCTTTTTGGCCAATTTTGTTGATTCTATGCCGAATTTTCTGCCTTCGAATTTATTTTCTGCGTTTTTCAACATATTGGAGTAGAAGTTTTATTAGGATGCACCGAAAATCCTTTGAAAGGCGCTTGAAGCTGATCGGGATGGCAATTTTGTCAAACAAAGCTTATTATTTCCGAACGGAAAATTGGCAATCGGAGTGAAGTGGATAGGTAAAGCATTTGTCGAATGAAAGAGAAGATGGGTATCCCGTGTGAAGAGTTTGGATGGCTGCATGGTAGGGTAGGGGAAAGAAGGGCACTTTAGTGGATTATGATAGTCCGGTAGGGTTGGCGATTTTCGGTACGGTAGTGAATTAAAAGAAAAATTTGCTAAAGTCCTTGTTTTTGAAACACTACCGTACCCATAACGTAACTGCGCAAGGGAAAATATTACTCGCGAAAAAAAACAAAACATTTGAAGCCACCTCTGCTTCTCGTCGGAAATATACAAACAGAAGAGTGTTTTTGGGGTGGATTCGGGAATTCTGTAGAATTCACGAATCGTCGCCCTCCAAATGACCCAGGGAAAGGCATGGCACATATGTAATCGGAAAATATGCCAAAGCAGCAGTTTGGTTGGCTAATGCTATGTACAGAAAAAGGGAAACGAAGATGATTTTGTCATCTAATATTGTGCAAGAGCTGGTTGCTTCATTGCTCGTCGGATAGTGGCCAATACGGTTGAGTTGGCTGCGGGCATACCGACTTCTGAAATTATGGCTATTTTTTGGAACGTCTTGGTCCGGGGTCACGATAAACTGAATCAGTGAAAAAAATTACCGGGAGCCTTCTTCGGTCGTCGGCAAGTCGCGGATGCGGCGGTAAGTGGACCACGTGTTGGCCGCTGTTCGGCTTGCACAAGTTGCGCTCTTGTTGGTGGTAGGCTGAGCAAAGAAGTCTTGGCTCCTCGAGCACCAGATGGACCATCCAATGACCCAACACCGGATGACTCGAGTTTCTCGAACTTCTTCTGGTTGGCTTGTTGCATTTTGCTCTTCCTCTCCGCTTCAGCACTGATTTCGCCACCCGAAACATTGGCTTCGTCTTCATCATCCTTCTTAAGCCCAGCGTTGAGGTTCTTTGTGAGCGTGACCCAGTCAGGACAGTCAGCGGTCATCCAAGGATGGATTAGGATCTAAAAAAAAAGTAAAAGATTTCCAATATGTATCTACCTCTTCCAAACTGCAACGATCGTATGGTTCATAGGAAAGGCATTGGAGGACAAGGTCTCTTGCTTCTAAAAAAATTGAAAATTTTTAGTTTTGGCGTTATTTAATACCTGTGGAGACTGATGAATAAAAGGGGAGAGCGCCGAGGAGATGCGATGTACAGATGTCTTTTTCATTTCTGTAAGGTACGCGACCATTCAGCATGTTGTAGAGGAGGACGCCGAGGCTCCAGACAGTGGCTTCTTTGCCAAGGTAGAGACTTCGGAGGAACCATTCGGGTGGACAGTAGAGGCGAGTTCCTGAACATTTAATTTAAAATTCATTTCACCAATTTTTATTTCCACTTCGAAAGTTGAAATTCCAGGGGAAATTTTGATAAGATATGGGGGGTCCTAGAAAGGCGTGAACACAACACCAGCGCCCCGCACGCGCAGATTACTGCTGTGGATGTGTGCTCACAAAAAGGGGCATCGGCTGCCCGGGGAGTTGTTGGCTCAGGGATTGACCAAAATGTGACTGAGTGTGATCTGGGGGTATACGATGACTGATAGCACCCGTGAAAGGAAACGACAATTCGGGTTTGGGGTGAGGGGTATCTCCTCGCATTGCACGCTGCACCCCCACAAAGTTTCCTTTATAGAACTTTCCCCGTTCAAAAACTATAAAAAGAAGATGTTGTTCACGCCTGTTGTTCACGCCTTTCTAGGATCTGGAATTTTTAACAAAAGTATAATTTTTTACTTCGCATTAAACGACCCTCATCAACCCCTAGAATGTATCAATTTGCAACGAGATTCATTTCGCGCATGACCCCAACGATCGAGAACGTGTTGACGTGAAGAGAGTGCAGCTGATTTACCCCCCAGCAAAAGTCAACAGAACCCCACAGAGGCAGATCAAAAACATAAAGGTTGGGTAAAAACAGTTCGTGAACAGTGCGGGCTACTTTGGGAGCAGGGTGTGCCATGGAATGCGGGTTGCGAAACTTGATCTTGTGATCATCGCAAATTTCGATACTTTTCTTTTGTTAGATTAATAACATTAGTATTTACTAAGGACCCACCTTGGAAATCGGAATATTGGGACTTCTTGAGGGCGGTCGCCGCTCCGAAGTCGATCAGCTTAGCTTCACCAGTCACCAAGTCGATGACAATGTTCTCGTCCTTAATATCGCGGTGCAGTATCCGCTTCTCGGCGCACTGCTGCACAGTCTGGACGATTTGGCGGAAGAACCAGCGGGCAGTCTAAACACCGGTATTCATTTTAACAGGAAGGCGCTTACATTTTCGTCCAATTTAGTCTGGAGCTTCAAGAAATCGAAAAGGTCGGTGCAGGGGAATGGGCGTTCCATGACAATTAGAAAGCCTTCCGAGGTACTGTACCAATCGAGGAGGCGGATTACACCTGAAATCCATTCTTAATTATTGATTTTGACATGGGGTTTTCAATGTCCAATTTCTGGTTGTCCTTTGACTTAACGTTCAGTTAGCTTAGCACATGAACAATGGCGACCCATTGTAGCAAATGGTGGTGACCAAATATTTACCTGGAATCTTGGCACACTTCGACAGCACATAAATTTCCATTGGTACTTGCGAGTCGCCAAGCTGGAATGGTAGGAGTTAGAGCGTATTTGCCACTTTTTTCTATTTGGTCAAGTGCCCCCCTCCCACAGAATTCTCTCGATTTTGTGCTATCAATTTGCCTATAAAGTAAGAATGCAAATGATCCTTGGTATACTAGTTATTGCGCGAGTGTTTTGCAGCATTTTTTAAATTTTGCGATTTTTGGTGCCGCAATCGAGATATTCTCCCCACATGGGATCAATCTGTTCACCCGGCTTTCGGGAGCTTTTTTTCAGCAAAAGTGGTCGTGTGATGAAAGGACTGTCAAGTTCCACCTAGCACTCAGCTGGTGGAACCCTTTCCCCCCAAGTTTTCGCTCAACCCCAACAAGAATAGGCATAGCCATCGAGATAAGGACAACATCTAGGCAACCATCCTTACCTTTCCCCATTCCCTGATAGATTTGCGGTCGATGAACTTGACCGCAACGGGAAGATCATCGGAGATTCGGGTGGCCCTGTAGACAACCCCAAAGCCACCCCTTCCAATCTCTTCTCCAAGATCATACAGCTTACGGAAGCCAGCGAGTCCACGGCCTGAAAAGTATGATGTCAATATTTGTTTACGCATATTTGCATATATCTCCCTAGATCTCCGTTATCATTTAGTCTTTAGATTTCAGATTAGATTAGCCTGTCTAGACTCCCCCTGTCACCCCCACCCAACCAAATTTGTTTTCGAAATTTAGGCTGTGGATTTCGCGGAAGGAGTGAGTGATCTGGCTACGGGATGCTTTTCCGATCAGCCCGCTTTTCTCCCCCCGCGCCAAACGACAACATATCAGAGGAGGAGAAGTGAAGGGAAAGAGGGACAGTGAAAGTCGAGAGCTTGAAACAGCAAGAGTTGACGGCTGGAGGATGAAAGACAATAGCTTTTCTCAGCAGGAGAAGCTGCTCCCCGGCACGAAAATATGGAAGCTGTGAGGCATGGGTGATCAATCAAGTAATGTAGTCTTGGGGCGCGTTATGCTTTGGCAAATATTTGATAGGCATGCAAGGTGAGACGGACTTACCGGACTCGCCATTGAGTAGTTGTCTCAAATTAAAAATTTGCGACGTGGCCATGCGCTTCACCCTGCGCGCCAAGGTTGGGATGCGGTTCATGGTGCTGATGGGGCGTCAGTTCGCTGCAAGAAACCGGATTACACAAAAAAATTCAAAAGAACAAAGTACATTTAAAACAAAGCGCTAAAAAAAGAGCACCAACATAAAATTAGTAGAAAATTTTACGTTGATTAATTAGAGAAACCGAGAAAAGATCGGGGTATATGATCAGGTGGGGGAAGATCAGAGGCGCTGGCGTAAAATTGTGCGCGTCGTGCGCGGCGTGTAATTTATCGGTTTTCATGAGATCGCCTATCCACAGGACGGGCCGGTTCTTTGGAAAACAATTCCAGAGCAAGTCAAAAAAATTTTTGAAGGATAGAAGGCTGGGGGAGGGCGGTAAGCTGAATTCGTAGTAGGGCTTTAAATTATGCGGGAGGCGGGGTTTCGGTGGATCGAAGCGTTCGACGGCATTATAGGCGGAAATATTTCGGGGAGGGAACGGGAGAAGAACGGGGCGAAGTCGAGAAAATCGTACAGTGGTGGGATACGGTTTTAGGACAAAAAAGTAGGGCTCCAGTCGCACCGGGAAAACTAAAATGTAAGCATTACCGTACCCGGCTTTAAATGGTGTGTAATGAGGAATGGAAAGAATGAACTGCAGGGTGGCTGCGTGTGTGGAAAAGGCACAAACAACTCTTGAGACGATCCGGACAACTACCCCGGGAATGGAAAGGAATAATGAGGGAGAGGAACGAGCCACTCCATCCATTTCGCCGCAATACAAAGACACACACAGCCAAATTGCAACGCAAATGCTCTGCAGGGGGCTGGTTTTCCAGGGGTTTTTTGGGGGAGGTGGAGGTTGAGGTGAAGCATTTAAGTGTGGGCCAAGAATGTAATGGAACGTCCACAAATCGCCAAATTATGATTGATATAAAAGTGAGCGTTGGGTGAAAGGACATACCGGTATTGGCCAAACAATTTGGGGGTATTTGTCAAAAAGAACGTCCGATGATAGATAAACATTTTTCGATAAAAAGTATAAGAATGTATGAAAAGCCAAGGATCAACACAAAATTAGAACCGAGAAAAGTGCCTAAAATGGCCATCTATGCTACAGATCCGGGTACAATGGGGGAGTTTATATAGTTGGTGGGGGAATGGGTGTGTACGACATGTATTCGCCGGAAAAAGATTGGCATAAGGAGTATTTCGGGCATCTCAGGCGGGTGCGTGTGGGGGAGGGACTGTCGACAGTCACAGTGGCGTTAGAACAGAAATGAGCCGTTTCCGGTGAGCGATCGGCCAAAGGAGCGCGAGATTTGACCAAAGCCGCCGGAGCTCACACCTGCGGCTCAGGTTCTGAGGATGAGCACGAGCACCGTTAGGAACGGCCAACACGTCTAGGATCTAGGAAGTCAGCAAAGTTATTAAGCTTCGCCTTCCAGGTTTGTCTAGGGATACGGGGGAAAGTTGCAAGAGGGAGGGGGGGATTAAATAAAAAATTTCTTTATTTTTGCTTCCTTTGGCAAAATTATTTCTGGGAAAAATAAAATTTTCCCATTCGCAAAAGGGTGGAACGGAAAAAAGAAAGTTAAACTAGAACCGGGAAAGGGTTGAAAGTTTAGAACATTTTAAATCTTCATAGGTTGGAATAGAAAGGATATAGCTGAAAATTCTCAAATCGGTAAGTCGAATCGACTCAATTTTTCCGGCCACCCGCATTGCCCGGCGACCAGTTTTCGAACCGTAGCGGTTTTTATATGGGTGATCAATTTCCGGGGGGATGCTGGAGGGGAAGGATGGCGCCGTCAAGATTTATGGTGGCGTTTCGGTGGAGCGAACCGATGGTATTTTGCGGTTTCGAATCGTGAGAAATCGACGATTTAAGATCTAAGGTAAGATCGAATTGAAAAGGTTGAAATTAAAGGTGTTGTCAGTGAAACGGCCCCCCAGCTGGCAAAAAAAACGGCGTAATACATGGATTGGGCCCAGCGGAGACACCAATAATCAAGGGCTCTCAAATGAAGCTTCTTGGCAGGGGGGTGTAAGGCGGGAATGCGGGGCGGACGGGTCGTATCGGAAGGGGGGTCCCGCTGATTTCTCGACGATGCGCCGGTGTGGCGGGGGTGTTGGTGGCAGGGGATGTTTGTGATTCAGGCTGCACCAAGACCTCCTGCCCCTCTTCTGTCCCATGTTCTCGCCGCCGACGACGACGACGACTTCATGGGGGGAGAGGAGGGTTTGACAGAAAGACACACGCCACCCACACGCACCAACACCCCTCGAAAGACACGTAGAATCCCCACCTGGACGGCGCCTGGTTCGGGATGTCGAGGCGATAGATTCAGGTAAAAAGATAAAATACCGTATTACATCTGATACAAGTTCCATTTAATAAAATCCGCATCCACTCCCTCTAATAAAGGGCCATCCAAAATATTGTTTTTCTAATTCAAGCAACGGTTCATGAGTAAAACGGCAAGATTATATTTAAAGCAAAAAATATGAAAATTAAACTTTTGTTACTGCGTTGATCTCTCTTTATTGGACAAAAATTGATAAACACCGAAACTCCAAACCGGGGCACCCAAAACGCAGCCTTTGTTCCCATAACCATAGCCAGGGAAAAAAAAAAAAAAAAAAAAAAAAAAAAAAAAAAAAAAAAAAAAAAAAAAAAAAAAAAAAAAAGGAAGTAAGCACAAGTTTTTGGAGTATAACTGTTAATCCATAATGAATGACATATACACAACCCTAATAATGAAGAGTATGATTAAAAAAATCCATGAAACATTTCTAACTGGGCGGGACAACCAATTTAAAGCAATTCCCCGCGGATGCGCAAACAGATCTCCAGCGGTTCGAGTGCAGCCCGCAAACAAAGCCAAAAAAACACAATGAGCTGGTAAATAGAAGCCGGCAAATATGTATTCAAAATAAAAGCCATTCTCGATATAGTAAAGAGAGCACGGGTAATTTAAAAATTCAAAGTTTCAAATTCAAATTCAATTAAAAAACTGAGGAGCTGACAGGGTACTGGTCAAATAAAAGGGCCAATGGGCGCGAGAGAAATTTTGTGGAAAACCGTAACAAACCGGAGCAAAGTGAACGGGGTAACGGTGTTGAGGATTTTTCAAGTGGGGCACAGAAAAGGGAATGAGGGTGAGGGACAAGAGATCTGGAAGCCAAATAGGAGGTGAGTCACAGTGACGCGCCCTGATAATCATCAACGAATGAGGGGGGTTGCGGGGGAGGTAGAATGGTTGCTCAAGGTCGAAGGGAAATTTTTAGTTTATGCTTGGCATCTTGCAAGCTATGTCACAGTGCTGAGTCGTTTATGCAGATTTATGTTAATTTAAAAAGTAAAACAGGTTGTATGCTAAACGGGCCTGCCTGATATCTTTAAAGGATTGTTCGTCTCGACCCACTGTCCTTTAAATTAGGTAGTAAGATATCTAAAAGCATAAGAGCTCAAAAAATGCGAAAAGCCTGATAAAAGGCTGATTAGTCATGATATCGTCATCAGAACCAATTGTCATCGATTATGGTGTGATTTCCAGCTATGCAATGCCGCTGTCGGCATTGAAGAAGGGTGAAGCGGGTGGAAGAAGACAAAAATGAGGGATGGGGATAATGGGTGGCAGAACAAAGAAGGAGCAAGGGTGGGGGGAGGAGGGGGGTCGACCCGGTGTGTGTGGCAGAAGGAGAAGAAGAAGCATCTCCACTCTTCGTGTTCACAGGACTGGTTCCTTCAACACAGCCACAGGGGGCGAGTCGACGCCATGGTAAGCCCTCCAGGGGCGCATACGGTTGATTTCTCTCTCTCCCTCCCTATCTCACTCTCTATCTCGCTCTCTCCTCTCTGGGTGAAAGGCTGACCCTTCTTCCTGGTAGAAACTACTGCTGGATCCGGACGTCACTGAATACATAGTACGCATCTGGTCTGTAATAGAAAAATATACTTCGGACTAGAACCGCCATAAAACATTTAGGGGGTAGGGGAAAACATTGAAAGGATAAGGGCAATTTGTCAAGGTCGTGCTCAATATAAATTTTTCGAGAGTTTTGGAAAATTTCTAAACTATTGGATAGGACGTAATTTAGCTTTTATACGGCTTTATAAGAATAATTTATTTTTTGATCGACCAAAACCTGGATAATTGGTGGCTGTTTTGACCAATCCCCATTAACTGTTAAAGCTAAAACGACCAATAACACTAAAATGAGGCATAAGCAGACCTCCCCCTAAAAACTGTAATGCTCCTTATTAATACTGATATCAAAAGAAACATGGTATTGAAAATTCGTTTCGCAACACCGCCAGCCCCCTGTTTAATGCCAAGTACCGGAAACCGCCCAGGTAGAGCCACCCCCCTCCGCCCAAAAAAAACTAGCAAAATGATGGTGGACCGAAAAGTAATGGCACAAAGACATGCACAAAAGTAAACGTTACCACCCCCCACCGCAGTGTCGCTTAGCCAATGCCCAAACAGACACAAACGATAACAAAACAGTCGAACAACCCAGGTAAATGTGGGTCCAGCGGATTGTTAGTGCCAAGTGGGTTTTTCTAGAAGCGATGCGACTGTCTTCTGGTGGATGGGATGGACTGGTTGGCACAAAGAAGAAGACGAGCACACACACACCATCCACCCACCACTCCGAATACAAACATACCGACAAACCGACACCACCGCCCGAGTGGCCCATGAATAGCCGGGTGGCGCTGGAGAAATTGTGATTGGGTTGGTCAAAGATTCTTATCAAAAATAACTTAAAAATTTTATCGGACAGAAACTGCTCGAATTTTCGATATTTTGAAACTAATTCGATAAAGTGTCTAAGCCTACGAAATTTAAGTCACAAGTCAAAATAACAAGCCCCGAAAATCTCTTATAGATCATGATTGTTCTTTGACTTAACTATAGTCACCAATAATCCCCCAATAATAATACAGGGTTTTCCAAAATTATCGGAAAAAACGGAAAAGTTTTTAATTTTTTTTTTTTTTTTTTTTTTTTTTTTTTTTTTTTTAAATTTTTTGAGGTTTTTTTCGGAAAAAAAATTTTTGAAAAAGGAATTTTTTAAAAAGAAGGGAAAAAGGGTTAAAATTTTTTTTTTTAAAAAAAAAAAAAAAGGGGGTAAATTTTAAAAGTTTTTAGAATTTTTTTGGGGAAGAAAAGGGGTTTTTTTGGAAAAAAGGATTAATTCCCCCAATTTTGAGAAAATTAAGGGGTTTTTTTTTTTTTTAAAAGGTTTTATTTCATTTTTGGGGAAGGGGTTTTTGGTTTGGGGGTAAATTTTAAAAAAAAAAAGGTATTAAATAAAATTTTTTTTTTTTTTTTTTTTAGAAGAAAAGTTTTTTTTTTTTTTTTTTTTTAAAAAAAATTTGTTTTTTTTTTTAAGTGTGGGGAAAAAATAAAAGGGGAAGGGGGGGGGGGGGGTTTTTTTTTTTTTTTTTGGGTTTTTTTTGGGGGTTGGGGGGGGGGTTGGGGGGGGGGGGGGGGGGGGGGGTGTTTTTTTTTTTTTTTTTTTTTTTTTTTTTTTTTTTTTTTTTTTTTTGGTGGGGTGGTTTGTGTGGGGGGTTGGGGGTTTTTTGGGGGTTTGGGGGGGGGGGGGAAAATTTTTGGAAAGTTTGTTTGATTTTTGAGGGAAAATAGGGGGTTTAGGGAGTTTTTTTTTTTTTTTTATTAAAAAAAAAGAGAGAATAAAAAAAAGGAAAAAAAGGGGGGAAAAAAAAGGGGAAAAAATTTAAAAAGAATTGGGTTTTAGACAGGTGCAAACAAAGCAACCTACGTAACAACCTCTCACAAAATGTAAAGCATCTCTTAACCCCGAAATTGAGCGCACGACCTTGAAGCCCTCGACGTGAAATTAAATACCCACCCCTGAGCACATTGTTGGCTGCCTAATATGGAACCCGATTAGTCATTTGAAGGAGCTGACGTCGACTCGACTCAATGCCAAGCGCCGAAAAATAGGTGCACAATAGCAGGTGCCATCCATCTACCAGGGGCAAGCCTTTCAATTCATGTTAAGCCTGGTTGAAAGCTGAGGGATTAGTCATACTGCCCTCAGGGCATCCCGGTTCTAGATTTCAGAGTGACGTGCAATGGCCGAAGAACGCGAGCGAGTATGGTTGCAGATCAGAAAATGATCTAGCAAGAGCTGGTTTAGATGGGTGGCTGTTTCGCAAGCCGTTCGCCGAGTTCGGCAAGTACCCGGGCAAATGAAGGAAGGAATGAAGGAGCTTTTGCAGGGTACAAAACCAGAAGTTACGTTCTGGCTGTCCATTGTTGGGTCAGCTAGGAATATAATCCTCTTCTACTTTTTTATGCTCTTCCCATCCTGCTCACCATCGTGCCCCCACAGTCCGGCCAGGGTTCAAGGAATAATCGGATCAATTGCAAAAGGGGAAAAGCCGAATGGCACATGACAGGTATGCAAAAACAAAGAACGCAATGAACCCACCCTCAGCTGTAAATCCGATGCAATCTCGTTAGGCCAGACATCGCCAATCCCTATTTATATCAATCCGATCCTGCCGTGCCCTGTGCAAAACTATGCAAATTCTGCAAAACACGTCCTAAGATGCGGGGGAGCTGCAGAAATGAGGGGTGTAGAACCGGATGATGCAAATTAGGCACATTGACTCATCGTTATCCATCAATGTCATATTTGGCATGGAGCCGGATCTTTGCTAAGTGATAAAAACACATCGTGATGCGTCATTTGCAACGAAAGCTTGGATAAACTGAAAAATTAACCCAAACAATCAAGCTTCAAGGCCCGGTTTGGCGAATCTATAACAAAGACCGTCAACCACGCGTCTAAATTCGTAGTGGGGTCGCGCTCTTGGGGGGAATTTTGTATGCAAAGTAGTTGTGGGGCACCGTGACTACAACTTTTAAAGGCAGTTGATGTCAATATGATGTTTGTGCTTGGTCAACTAGTAAAAATAAATGGTAAAATTTCTTGGTTGAAAGCCTGTCATTCCTGTCAAGGATTTATTCAAATTTATCAATTCAAGAATAAAATTACTAGCGTTCGGGAAAAATCCAGTTCGCTCCGCTTCAATGTCTACATATTAAAACCTGTTAAACCGCAAAAAAATATGAAGATATTCACATCTCAAGTGACATTCACAGCCGCTAGACATATCAATTACCTTCGCTTAAAATTACAAATAAATGTTTAAATCATCAAAATATGTCTATTTAAAAGGACGAAACACCTGGGACCAACCGTAGCAACCAAAGAAGCGTTATGCCTTTCTCCAAAATCACCGTCTACCGGCAGAGCCTCTCCGTTATATTTCGGGTCAGGGGTTTGTGTTGTGTAGAGGCTTATGCTTCAATGCCGAAAAAGGCGATCAGTGAACATCGAACAGGGCTTCATGATGGAAACTGAGGAGAATGGTGAAATCGAACGCAACGATGGTCATTTTGCACGTTTTTTTGGTTGTGGACATAGCTGATTGCATGGAAACTGTAATGTGCCAGCGGCTGCCGTTAGGCCGTAGCGAAATTCGAGGGTAATGCGAATAGATTTCAATCAATTTTATTAGTTTTCAGCCTATTAAAACGCCCTATGCGCTTAATAATACCAATACAACAAATAAATAGACCTCCTATTCACATTCACAATGTCGCGGGAAGGCGCTAGAGAAAATACGGTATTAGAGTAAGTACAGTCTTTAAATTTCCATAAGTTTTGTTTATGCTATGCCGATGTTGTGTTTTGAACATAATTTTATCCCGAAGAATCTTTGTATATTGTTTAATGGGTGACATGGACGGAGTGGACATGGGCGCTGCCATCGACCTCAATGAGGTGCACGTTGGAGTGGTCGTGGCGCTCGTTGAATTGGCAGTAGGGGCGGCCGTTGAGGAACACCTAGAGTTAGTTTATTCGCTTATTTCGTGGTTTTTCCTCGTTTAATAAAAAAAATTTGATTCCGGACTTACAGCAATGGCTCCGGGGTGGGCCTGGAATTCGATGGTGTAGACGCGGTTGGCGTGGAAGGGGAACTCCTGGTCGAATCGCTCCTCGTTTTGCCAGTGGCCGTTGTGGGTGCTGTTGCTCACAATGCAGCGCTCCTAAAATAAAATTAAATGTTAACTTTGGTGATATAAATATCTAATATCTTAATTTCTCCTACTCACATCAAAACGAGGGTTGAAGTGGAAAGCGATATCGTTCGGGGTACGGAGGTTGATCTGAAAGAATTTTATAATTCACCTTTCTTCATAAGAAAGCAACACCAAAATACACTTACCACAAAACGATCAGATCCGGTCGGAATAAGAACCACTCGGAGCTTCTGGCCAGGGTGGAAACCAGCAACCGGAACCGAAACCGGGGTCACCGGGTTGAAGAACTCAGCTCCGAACGACACACCAACTCCTTGTCCGATCATTTTTGCTAAAAAGCTCTATCTTGTTCTGGAGAATATACTAGAAATTTGGATGAAACAACAGACTGTTTGCCAGCTATCAAACACTCCTCTTTATAAACCCCATTGTAAGCGTCTTTATCGCAGAAAATCACCCTCCCAGAATACCGACCCGGGCTGATAGCTACGCTTTTTACGCCCACTTGCCGTGGCCCCGAAAAAAGCAGTTGGTGTGGGCGGAATTGCCAGGATGACAAATCGATTTAATTGACGGGTTTGGAGGGCGTTTCTAGAATTTGGGATGAGTCAATTAAGGTAAAGTAAGCGGCTTTGGAATGAAAGCGGAACACTGTGTTTGTTGATAAGGTGTTGAGTGTACACCAAAAAAAATCAAGAGAATTTTATTTGGTAAAGCATGATACGTATCCATTTGGGCTCGGTCATCGCACGTTTATCTGGTCCTATGTGATTTCTGAGTTGTTTGTGACTAATAATATTCTTAAAATGCGTTCCCAAAGCAAAATTTATTTTTTAGATCAGTGCATAGGATGGGGGTTGATGGCATTTTAGTTGGTAAGGTGAACAGAGTGGACATGAACATCGCCGGCAACCTAAAATTTTTACAATAACAAGGTTGAGGAATCTATATTTTAGGCGGCTTTCAGTTTTACCTCGATCTCATTGATGTCGTGGTGGCTGTCGCGCTCGTTGAAGCGGCAATGCATTTGCCCGTTGATGAACACCTAATTATTGCGCATTAAGTTTTTCTAAATAACTAACCGCGACATTTCCTGGTTCAGCCACGAACTCGAGGGTGTAGATGCGGTTGGCCTGAATTGGGGATGTTTAGGTTTACATGTCCAAACGGCACTCGCCAATGGGGGTGTACCGTAATGGACAATAAAGGAGAAAAATTGATCCGGCCAATTTACTTTAAAAGCTTACATGGAATGGGAATGGCTCGCGAGAGCGTTCCTCAGACTGCCAGGCACCTCGACGGGTGCTGTTGCGAACAACAGCTTTCTCCTACAAAGCAATTTTCAAAGAAAAACCACCCTCACGTCGAAACGCGGGTTGTAGTGAAGCGCGATGTCACCGGGGCGCTTGAGGTTGATCTGTAACCACTATGAAAGGCACCACAGGAACCCATACCACAAAGCGGCCGGTTCCAGATGGAATCAAAACCATGCGGAGACGAGCTCCATTTTGGAAGCCACGAACCGGCACTGACACCGGGGTCGCCTAAATTGTTAGCGCAAAATGCAAGCCTCCTTAATTTACCCACCGGGTTAAAGAATTCCGTCGCAAAGGCGAATCCCTTTAGCCCTATAAAACAAAATAAAATTGTTATGTTTCAGAGCCCACCATGACCATGACCACCATGACCACCCGGGTGTCCGTGAGGCATTTTTTCAGAACGGAGCAGGGAGCCGAAGAAACGTTCGTGGTTGCTTCAACTCCAACGTTGCTCCGCATACCCTTATATTCTGCGCCCATAAAAAGACCATCCCAGCATTTATGGCGGTCCTTATAGACACCAAAATCAGGGCCGGCCGGCGGTTCAGCTTTCCATTTTGCGAAGAACAAACAAGTGATTCAAATGATATGGGGATGGGCGTTTTTTTGCAGATCCGTTGGGGGAAGTTAGACTGGGCTTTACGATAGTTTGGATACAGACTTGAGCCAAATTGAAGCAAGTGAGGGTACATCAGCGCACTTGATCTGATCGTTCTAAAAATCAGGGTCAAACGCTTACGATGTTAAGCTTGAACAACGTTGCTCCCCCGCCACCGGTATTTATATTTACCTAAAGGTATATCCTGTCACATTCCCAACCGAAACAAAATCAAGTACTACACCTCCCAGTTTATCGAAAGTTTCACCGAAAAATCCAGGAACAACACACAATCGATACCCTATAACTTAGAAATTCTGTATAAATTATGATTGTTCGAATGAAAGCTGGAAAGGTCAAGGCAGCAAGTAGCAAGCAAACACAAACACAGAAAATCCCGCACAGGACGTTACCCCAAAATTGCCGCTAGGCTGAGGCAAGATATCACAGTAAAATTATTGGACCGGAAATGCTAAGGACACAATATTAAATTAGTAGAGCAATTTACATCAAATCCGGGGCTCCCCAATTCATGCCGCCCGGCCGTTCTTCTTCTGGGACGTAGGGAAGTGGAGGTTCATCGAAGATATACTCAAAATATTCTCATTAGAAAACGAAAAATTTCAAACCTGTAGCAATGCTGGTGTCTTCAGAAGTCGCATTCCATTAGGCTGATGGGGGAAAACGTCCTCCAAGAAAAAGTAGAGATGTCCACACGCGATGCCTAGAAAAGTTAATGTTCCAGGATAAATCTGTAAAAGTTACCGATAAAATCAACGAGCGCGTTATTTCCCAGCAGCACTGAGAAAAAGAGAAGCACCCATGGCAAATACGGCGCGTTGAACGTGAGAGCTGCGAAGAAGTTCATCCTAAAAGTGGCAATTCAAATAAATATAAAAACGAGGCAGTAAAGTATTACTGAAACCTACCTAATATGAGGATTCCGCCTGCTCCAGATGTAAACGAGCATCATCGTGAAGGCATGACCATGGAATTGAATTTGCAGAAAGATACCACACATTGTCTAAACGGAGATTACGCGGTTAGAAAAGGAACTTACCATTAAAATCCCACCGAATATAAACATGAACACAAAGTCGGCCCTTCGCCCTCGAAATGAGCCTTCTTCCAACATTTGACAGTATCTGAAATAAAATAAAGTCCTCGAAACATAGCCCACGCTTTAACTATAATAAATTAGCTTACCTATAGATAAATACCATATTGAAGAAGAAATTCAAGCCGAACGGGCCAAAGTAGCAGAAGGAAGTGAACAGTCGCCAGAACTAAATTGTATTGGTATCTAACCTTTTTAAAAATACGTACCTGATATCGATAAAGGATAAGCTCCCAATTGAAATACAACTGCAACGGGCTGAGGAAGTCGAATTGCTGAAAGAAGATTGAGAAAATGAATAGAAAAAAGACATACCGTGGCCAACGTTGATAATACACATGCAGTTACATAGCCCCTTGTTATCGGAGGCATTTCCGTGTAGAGTTCGATGAGATTCGCCATCTGGAACAGAGTTTTTGGTTTTATCAAATAGAAAAAACGGAATGATACAAGGAAAACTGTTAAATGAATTAATTACGGCGTCCGTTTCAAAAAAAAAACCGGAGCCACTGCGCCGATAGTCATTAATGCGTTATTTTGCGCCCCGTAGAGGAGGGGCGCGCGTTTCATCGGCGCACTAATGATGGTTTGGTCCCCAAGCTTTTTGCCTGTTTTATAAAACTGTCTCTTTTGAGTTTTATAAAATTTATCCAAAAAATACGATCGATAACTCAAGTACAAAAGCAGCGAGCTCTTCACATCAAAAATTGTCACCCAAGCCGCTTTTACTTGGATTTGCCTAATCCGGAAGGTCCTTCTAGGAATTCGATCAATATTTTTGTATTAATATTACGATTAAACCAAATCCGAATACCATCGAGGGGGAAGACCAATCTAAATAAATAGCCACTGAATTGTTGAACTATTTATTTACAAGGACCAAGTAATCGACATCGGGTTTCTATATGACGAGAGACGATCGGACTACAGTGAGCGGACGTTGACCAGTATTTTAACAAAGATTTTGGCAATGATGGTAGGAGCTAGGTGAGTTTAGGGTACTGTACTGGCAACGAATTGATGTAGGCATGGCATAAAAGGAATTCAGAGCATATAAATCACAGAGAGGCACAATAAGTACATATTGGGGGTGCTAATTTTGAGCGGCTAAAGGGGGATAATGTACAACAGAATCTCTAGAAAACATTGAACTAATTTTGTGTGGAGACGGTTGACGAATTTGGGGGACTGGGCTTGAGTATTTCATGTAAAACGGCCCTCGGGATCAGCGGGATGTACTTGCAGGTCGCAAATTTGCGCATTTTCTTCTCGCAACCCGGGTCTTTCAGGGCAGTTCGAGCGTGGCGGATGACTTCCGGCGCGAAGCTCTCACTTGAGTGCATATCCTGGTCTTTCAGTAGTTTAATGACCTAGAAATTCCGTTTATAAACAATACGGTTTTAGGCTACCATGTATAGCGCTGCATCAGAATGCCCGCGGTCGGCGCAGTTTTGCATGAGTTCGAGTCCGTATGGGGTGTCTTTTTCGGTTCCTTTGCCTAAAAAGGCGTGAAAATAATTATTGATTAAAAGCTTACCAGAGAGTACCATAGTAGCCCTATGATACTGGCCGGACAGATCTCCTCCTTTGGCGGCCGTTTCGTACCAATGGAAAGCCTAACAGAATTTTTGTATTGTGGTGTTGTTTGGATACCTTTTGGTCATTCTTTGTGCACCCAATGCCGTGATGGAACAATTCGGCGAGGGCCACCATTCCATCGAGACATCCTCCTTTTGCAGATGATAGGAAGCAACGGAATGCTTCGGCAGAGTTTCCTTCACGCAGGTTTTGATAACCTGAAATGATAGGTTACCAGATGAGCTTCTGGTCTTACCTATCATATAGTCTAAATGATGGACATGGCTGGACTGCTTGCTGACAGGGATTAACGAATAATAGCTGTCACTATCGAGAGATGTGCTTGTGCTTTGCTGAAAATCGATTTTTTTAGCCCCTCCTTTTTAACTTTTAAGGTTTACTACAAATACTTACGTCCACCATAATCTTCGGGCCCTTCTTTGCAACATGTTCAGTCTCAAATTCGGTTGTTTCGAGGATATGTTGGTATTCTGGTGGCTAAAGGCAAGCGATCATTTGCGGACCTTGAGCCTTACAATTTCCTTCTTCGGGCTAACAACAACCGGGGTTGGCTCTTCATCTTCCGGTATAGTCGATAGTTCCTTGTCGAGTTTGTGCAACGGAGCAAGCGGATCGCAGTCAATGCTCAGCGGTACATAGCGGATGAATTGGGCAAAGCCCGAGGCATTGATTGTTAGTGCCCTGAATATGTTATTCCATGTTTTTACTGATATTCCATACCCTGGATATGTTTGTTCTTCATTTTTGTCTAGTGATGCGAGGTGTGATGGCGGTGTGACGATACGACAGCCTAAATATGGTTGTTTTTGGGTCTAAGTGATGATTCTCAATTTGCATATAAAAAGTTGACTTACTGTGTCGTAGAAAATGATTGATCGCATGGCGGGGAGCACTCATCGCCAGCCTCACGAAGCTGTGGGTTCACAGCATTGTTGCGGCGGCTCTGGCCCCTTGAAAGATGCAGATGTTATAATGTATTAATGATAATTGGTTTTTTAGACGAGAACTTTATTTCTTGAGTAATTACCAGTAGATTAGAGTGATTAACGAAGCATGCAACGACACTAATGCTCTGACAGTAAAAGCCTATTTAATTTATCAAAATAGTCGAACTTAATCAAAAAGCTATATTCTTAACATCGTGACCTCTTGCGAAATCCGAGGTCGGGCTAATTTTTCGCGCCGTGCGCATTTGCAGCAAATGTTGCCTGGAAAGTCCGTACTAATTAATACTTGTGCCAGGCAATCATTAGAACATAAATAATACCATTTTTGTTTAAAAACTGATTTTATGCTCCCATCGGAATAACTTCTGATTACCATTAATAAATGCAAACAATTTTGTTAACGAAAATGGGCACAAAAGAGGATTTTTCGGAAACTGGCGCGTGATTGTGATTTCATTGTCATTTCTGGGGTTTGACCTGTATTTAGAGATAAGGGGGATAGTAAACGCGACGGTTGGCTCATTTCTGGACATGGAGACGTCACTTCAAAGTGGCCGTTTTTATGGGGTGCCCATCCTACAGTATGCATCTAGATTGCCCCGGGCTTTTTGAGAGGCCACCCAACGAGTTAGGCCTCCCAGGAAGGTACAGCTGATTTGTGGGATTCAAGGATTGGATCTGGCCGAAATGAGTAGGCAAATGGAACCGGGGCCAAGGTAAGTTTCTGAAATCGACGTTCTAAAGTTGCATGTAGCAAATGCTTTCCTTTTAAATTTGTGCAAATGGTGCCAATTATTGAAACAACAAAAAAAATCGTGAAACTAAATCGATATTTAAAATGAGCTTATCTCTCAGCCATCGACCGGATCGTGATGAGACTCCATCTCCAATACAACAATGGCCGACCCCTCAACGTCTCTACAGCCCAATTTCGGATGATGAAGATGAACAAATGGAAGAAGATCCAGATTTTACTCCGGAACGAAGCTTCCGACGATCCACTCCAATTCGGATCAGAGGGGAACTTCTCTATCCCACTATCGAGATCCCACACGCACAGGTTGGCAAACAAAATTCAGCCTAAATATTATTATTTTATTATTTATGAGAATCCACCTGAAAAACCAATACCTTTAGGTGATCGCCGACCTCCAATGGTTAATTTTCGAATGTGACAAACGCTGTATGATTGATGAAGTTGCCTGGTATGTAAAATTCTTCCTAATACTTTTTTTTTGATTTTTGAGATTCTCGTTTAGAATTTATCGTCAAAAATTGTTATTAATATTTATTTAGGGCCACCGACGTTCTTAACCATTGCTCCGATCAAATGATGGAAGCTTATGAAGCTTCGGACGAGGTTTCCACCGTCGTTCCCCAGGTTTTTTTGACCTGTTCAATATTCTCAAAGTTATTTAGCATCCCTATGAAGCATACCCGCATAATCGTAATCTGATGCTTGGCCGTGCCTTAATGCATCAGCGAAAAATTCATCGGTATTCGATGTAAATCACAAAAATTTATTTTTCTAGAGCTAACTCATTCTTTGAGAAAGTCAAAGACACCGGCGAAGTACCGCGTTTCTTATATTACTACAGCAAATTTATGGTACGATTTTGAAACAATGCATTATAATAGTTTCAGACGATCGCTAAAAGCGCACTTCAAACCGAGCTAATTATGTTCCAAAAGAGCGTGGTTCACCCGATTCTGGAAGGCGAGCCAGCACGACCGGAAATTGCGGTTAGTTAAAAGTAAGTTGGTAATGTCTATTGTAATTTAGGAATATACTGAGCTGCACACTCGGCTTTTGAAGGAACGATCCTTAGAGAAGATTGGGTTCAAGAAGGGGAAAGAGCCGCCTTTCGATATTTTCTTGGAATATTTGTATGTTTTTTTCCAGAAAATGACATATGAATGCACATTTAGGACAGCGAAGGTTGAGTTGGAACTCGATTGCCATGAAGTTGCCTGGGATCGATTGATCAAGATTATCGAGCAGGAACCGAGGCAAGTAGCCTAGACACTAAACCCTGGATCTACCAAATTCGATTTCATTTCATATTTTTTCAGGTTTTGGCCAGCTTACGATACGCTAGTTCATCGTTGCAAACAAGACGATAAGTTGAAGGATGTTTTTAGAAGGTATATTCAACGAGAGGATAGGCATTGGCTAGAGGTTAGTGCGTGAATCAAATTATCGATTGAAATTTAAACGAATGCAACCAAATAAAAATAGTTTTTAGTACTTCTTTGAAGTCTTTGCCCTTGCGAAAATGAATGACCATCATCAGGTCCTGGAAGCAGCACAAAGGTGTGTTTTTGCGCTGTAACATAATTAGCAGTTTTTGAGGCTTATGAACAGTGGACTTGCCAATCAACCATTTTTAATGCAACAGATAGCCATTTCATTCCACGAGACATATGGTAAGAGCTTTACAAAACAAGAAAATTCTATTTCAGCAAACTATGATGCCTGCGAAATGTTTGAAAATATCCGGCGAGCAGATCCGTATCGTCTATCGGGGATGGAGATCTACGCAAACGCTCTTTACGTTCTGGTATGCAGAATGACCTTATTAGATCAATATATCTTATTAGGGACAAGTGGCAAAAATTCGCGAGCTTCTAGTCAAATTCGAGGGTCAACGCTTTACCTGGCAAGTCGCAATGATAACAGGTCAGTTTAAAACCAGTCCTTAACGTTGTATATAATTTTTCAGCGAATTATTACTCCCTACGCTCGGATCATATCAAAGCAATTCAATATTTTGAGAAGTCATTGAGGTTGAATCCGTCGAATTCTAGGTATGTTTGGCAGTGAAATCATGTTTTCAATCTCACTTCTCAGAACCTGGACTCTTCTTGGGCACGAATATATGGAAATCAAAAATCACCCAGCTTCTGCGCTTTGCTATCGTAGAGCCGGACTTTTGAATCCGCAAGACCCCGCCCCGCAATATGGCTTGGGGACAATGTATGATGTGATCAAAATGCAATCATATGGTCATCGATTCTTCGTCAATGCATTCCGGTTACGGTTGGTAAATAAATAGTATTCTTTATCTTATTTAAATGGTCATGAAGGGAAACTGTTCTTTTTTCAGACCGTACGACTCTCGTATGATCATTGGTTTGGGAGAATCGTTTATGAAAATTGGCCAAGTGAGTTTTGACTTTTAAAGGGATGCCCAACCTTTTCGCGGCTCAAAAAGGAAAAACCATGCAGCGCCGGGGCCGCCCCTTGTTAGCGGAGCTTCCTTGGGGGCCGGGTGGGCGGGGGGAACAAAAGGGGAAAGGGGTGGTGGATTCTGTGCGGCATTGGGGGCCTCATTACCGCACAAAATTCGAGCGTCATTTGTACTGTCCGGTATCCATAACTATATATTTGCCACCAAAACCTTGGGTATCCCTTTAAAGAGGAGAATCTTCCAAAACCCATTTTTTTTATAAGTTTTTTAAAGAAGCAAAGCAATACTTCAAAAAAGCCTTCTTCAATGGAGACCCTGACGGGCTGGCCCTATTCTTCCTCGGGAAGGTTTGCGAGAAGCAGAAGCAGAGGGAAGAAGCCGCACGTGCATATGAGAAATATTTGAAGGTTTATGAAGGGGTAAGCCAAAAAAATTCAATAATAGTTTTTTTGTGAATTTAGGTTGCCGACAAAAAGTGCCTTCAGCATGTTTTGCTGTTTTTGGCAAATTTCTGTTTGGAGCGGAAGAAATGGGATGCAGCTTGCTTTTATGGGACGATGTGCTCGGATTATGAGGAGGTCAGTTTTCTCTTAAGTGAAAAAGGGTTGGCAAAGTTATTACTGTAAAAAAAAGCAAAGATAAAAGCTTTTTTATAGATTCGTGAGGAGGGAGCAAAACTTATCGAGAAAGTACAAAGGGCCAAGCAGCGGGAATCAACCATGTGGTTGGCAAAACCGCAAACCGAAGGGTTAGTTTTCAAAAAAAATTGTAATGTTTTCTCTAGAAATGATGCGCTACTTGATAGCTCGCCCGACCCATCGCCATAACCCAATCTGATCTCTAAGGATCTGCCTTTCATCGTCGATACTTTCCAATTCCCCCACTTTCCGCAAGCAATATCTCACCAAAGCCATCTTAAAGCTGGTTGTTATTGTGTTGTGCCATTTTTTTTAATGAACTTTCATTATGATGTTTGTATAAAAAATTAATCTGAATTGTTTATTCTATGGCATAATTAATGCCCTCTTTAATCGCCAAATGTAGTTTTGACGTTAACATATGCCGAGTACGGTAAGAGGGTAGATCGAGCCGATTGAAGCATGTGTGAGCACGTGGAAGGCACTCTTCCTGGCCCCATCTAAAATTCACTTTCGTCGATATATAGAACCAAGCCTACCTTTCTATCGTAAACTTCTTAGGGCCATTAGAGCCACGTAGACCTCTAAAGCCCTCAAATGGAATTGATGAAGTGCCGGTGACAAACTGAAAATCGTACATACACAACGCTCATCAAGGTATAATGTATACCTGCAAAAGCTTCAATCGATCAGCATTACTCATTCCTTCAACAACATCCCAAAACCATTGAATGACAATGTGTTCCTCATAATAGCCACCCTAAAAATTTTGTTATGATAAAATTAACATTTGAGAAAAAGACCCTATATTCTGTATTCCTTCTCCAGTCTTCTAAATCGATATCTGCAATTCCTGACAGCATCATCTTGATCTCATCTGGAGTCAGAACATACAGGAATTCTTTCTCGACTATCTGGAACCACGATTTTTTAGGCTTTATTAAAAATTTAAGATCCTACCTGATGAAAGCCATATAACAACGCTTTTAGCTGAGGCTCAACACCCCGCTCCGCTCGCCATTTTACCATTAACCGAATGAAATGCTCCTAAGTCAATTATGAAATTATTTTTGACAAATTTCATACCTTGTTATGCTCATTAACCTTTAGTTCTTTCCCATTCGGTAGCAGTTCTTTTTCAATGATCTGAAGTTTGGCATGAACTTCTAGAACATGACAGACCTCTCCTCCAATCTCGCACATTGCCATAAAAGTAAGCTCCAGATCATCCATTACTACATTCTCACGAATCCAGATAAGACTATTGTAGAATTCGTTGTCTAACAATTCCAGGTCCTCCAATTCGATTTTTCTATAATTCATAAAAAATGGTTTCTATGCAAACTAACTGGCCAAGGAGGTATTTGTAAAACACCCGAGTAAAAAACGTGTCCACCAGACATCGATGCACTAATGCGAGACCCAACACTTTACCCGCCAACTCCATCCTGAAAAATCAATGCAATAAATTCAACAATCAAAATAGATGCACCATTTCAAATGCTGCTCGATAAACGTAGACATTGGGTTGATTTGGATCATGTATTCTCGATCCCCCGAATACTCGAAAAGCCCGTAATAAGGGTTGAATAGCTCGCGGGATAGCAGATAGAACAATTCTCTCGACGGCCCACCGTAATCGAGACTGAAACAGAGCTATCGAAATTTTCGGTCGACAAACCCATCCTCATCATCGAAGGTTATAGATAATCGGGCCCGTTTCAACAGACACGAATCGGTACTTAAGATTTGGTCATATGCGTCTTGAAGCAGATTTGTTCTTGAGAATCGTAGTCTAGAAACCTTAGCATTCTTTTTCGTAATTGGTTTGTACTTGATCTTTTGTGGTCCTCGGGCACACCCATTTCTTTGGAGGCAATTGTAGAAATGAGCTACTTTTTCGTCAAAGTCGGAGACGTTTCCGTTTTCTTCAGAATCAAGCATGCTAAAGATTACTGTAGGTTGTGGAAATCGTGATTTACCTGATGGCAAGGATCAGGTCGACATCATTTGCTAATCTATCCAAGGCCGTGGCACCCATCCGTTCGATAAGTTTTAGTTTTCGTTTGACCTAATAACATAAATACGTTTTCCATTTTTACTGATCAGTTTAATAAAAATAATTTTCACGTCGTATCTCTACCGTACCTTTGTCGCCAATTGTGGCATCCTTTTCTCAACAGCAGCCGCAATCTCCTCCGTCCTATTCACAATATCCAACAAATTCCCATTGCTATCCTTCTAAAAAAATGCGGATGTTGAGGAATGACCCCCAAGGGATTGTACACACCTGTATATTGTTGCGTTGTGGAGGGGCGCTTCTCGTTCTCCGTTTTCTCTCCTGGGGCACGGGAAGACGAGGGTCGAGAAGGGTTGTTTTTCGGGTGCCGTGATTGATGAAGATTTTCTAGAAGGCAGCCCTCCGGCTTGCTTTCCCCGTAAAAACAGACGCACCGGATTTGAACCGCTTTCCTGCCAATTCGTGGGAAGTGGTTGGGTAATGTCGGCAAAAGTGTTCACAAACAGGACAAATTCCCTAGAAAATGTTAAAAAAGTGTTTCAAATGTAATATAGAGGTCATACCGATTATGCTCATATTTATCCACTCGTTCCTCAGATTTTCTCAATTTGTGCACAAGATGTCGAAGAACTTGTGACTCATTGTAGATTCGGAGAGCTTCCTAAATTTACTGTATCCCCAGACACCCAAGAACTACCGTATTAGCATGCAAAATGTTTACAAAATCCGCTCTCCTCAAAAATTTTAATGCATTCGGGATGTCGGTCTCCGGAACAGAATTTCCGATGGTACGGCGGAAAAAGTGATATCTAAGGATGAACATTAAAATGATTTGAAAATTATTTATACTTTTTTCCAGGAGTTCCAGCCTCGGAAGCATCAGCATATGCATATTCTGGTCGTTGCCATGTCGTTTTCTAAAACAAAAAACGTCAGGTTTATAATTTAACCTACCTTCGTTGCGTGGTCAATATAAAATACCCGTCCAACTCGATCTACCCGTGCTTCCCAACCTAAAAAACAAATGTTTCGATTTATCGAAATTACCAGGTGGAAGTTCCGGCAAATTTGGAAGTGAATGATCAGAAGTTGAGGTAGATGGGCCGCCGCTAAAATTTCTTTTAATTTTTCCCAGATAATTTGGGATCTTCTAGGGGTTTCCTAGTGTGCATTCGAAACCAAAGATTTTGCGTTTACCTACGCCTTGGCGGTTTGTGTTAAGTTCGAGCTGAATTTCGTGGCTCAAAAAGAGGGTAGTTCGCTACATACCTAGATTTTCCACTATCCGTGGAGACGCTAGTGCCACTAACACTAGCACTCACGCCACCCGAGCTTGACATTTTATCTTCTGAAAAAACAACATTTTCTGGGCCAAATCCAAAGTTAACTTACCGTTTGGATCTGGTTCTGGCAATTTGCACACACCTTTTTCAGGTAAAATATTAAAGACGACGGTCAGAGTAACCTAAATTATCATTAATATATTTGACTATTTAGCTGACCTTTGACTTTCTCGGTGAATCTAAGAGTTGAAGCGGTAAGATGACGTCTCTAAAAAGCTATTCAACACAAAGACATGTAAAACCTACTGTTCGTTTGCTGCTACCAGGTCATTGACGGGAATGATACCTTCGATGAGACGCTTTGAGTTTTTGCCTAGGATTAGAATAATGGGGAGGGATTTGGTGAGGAAAAGGGGGTAAACAGCAACAAGAACGCTTGCGAAAATAATGGTTTTATTTATGCGTCTTTCAAACTTACCAAGTATGGCGACGGTGATTGTTGAGGAGTGTGAAATAGGAATTTGAAGATCCTAAAGACAGAGTTAACGAGATCGGCTTTCAAATTACGAGGTTCTCCCAGTTTGGCGAATTTGAAGTTGCGGTGGCTGCTTTTTTGCCACCGTATTCGACTCGAGCTTGAACAGCTGATCTTCCAATGCCAGTTGCCGAGATTTCTGCAAAATTTGAATGTCGAGAAAACCTCTAGACAACAATGATCTTTGAATATTAAAATACCTCTCAACTGAAGTCGTGGAATAGACGAAACAAAGATGGGTGGTGAAACGGCTCGAAGAGCGCCAGTGATGCCGTCGAAATATCTGACAACCACCCCAAATTTTTGCTTTTTATTTCCCGAAAAAATGGCTCGGAGGGGGAGGGGGAACGTGGGCGTGTGGCTGGAGGGCGGAGAAGGGGGTCAGTCAGTATTCCCTAGAGGATAAGAAAAAGTCGCCAAGTGTCAACCAAGACGCGGATGGGACTTCTCTGGTTGCCCCCAACCAGGGGGCCCATTCTAGTCGATCCCAAGACCAACAAAAAAGGCCAACGAGAAGAATTTGGCTTTTGGAAGCCGGGTTTTGGGCTCGAAAAAAATTAGATTTATTGTGCAGGGGAGACGGTGGAGTGAGCACTGGGATTTTAGGGGGGGAGTGTCTGGCTTTTACGGGGAGGTTTTGGTATTTAGGGATTCTACATTCAAGCTGTTATATACTATTTTGCATATATAAAGTAACCGAAATTATACTAATCTTTCTATTTATTGTAAGTTTAAGTAAGTCTATAAAACAGAGAAAAAAATGCTATGCAAAACGCTTGTTTTTGCCCAAAACACCGCTTCGTATTCCTTCGGATTTCCTGACAGCATAGGCGCGAATGCCGAATGAAAAATCGGAGATTTAAAAGCGGAATGGAAGATGGGCAATTCCAAAAGAGGCCCACAAAGCCATCCAGCGAAAAGCCACGCTCGTTTATCAGCGTCGGGCATCTGGAGAGGGGCAGATTTTGGATGGTGGCTTCTGCTGCTGGCCCACGCACCTCCCCGGCCCCATCCATCCACATCCAAAAAATGGGCCCAGGTGTTCTCGTTTTTACATAGGGGATCAGGAAAACATGGGCTGTGAAATGCCCTGCGGGTCACGGGACGAGAAAAGCTTGCCTCCATTATACAAGAAATTGAGAAAAACATACCGGAAGCAAACATAGCTCGTAGAAGTACTGGAGAATAGGGCCCCAGCCACATGCCAGTGGATCTGAATTTTCAATTTATAAGGGTACAAGCTTGTTGATTACTTCTCCTTGTTGACCTCCAACGGCACCATTACTTTTGAAATCCCGGTATGCAAATGGATCGGTTTCTTCTGCAAAACCGAGTCAGCTTGTATCTTCGTATCTATCTTGCCAAACCTCGATCAAAAAGTCCAATCCAGTCCAAGGCACTAACTTCACTTTCGAACACCCACGACACGCGAACAATCTAAAAGCAAACTTATTATTTATGAATACCATACCTGATTTGTATCTGGTCCCAAGTACATTTCCAACCGATTGACACCTAGTCGATTACTCTCCGGTGAGAATGAGCCTCCTCCGCCGCCTTTTCCTTTTCTCACAATCAACATGGCTAAATAGTTCTTGAATTTCGGGTCTTTTTGGTTCCGGAAAACAAGGAAATAATGCGTCGCCCGGACATCAGCTTCCATTATATGTGCTATGATGTGGGAGAGGGGAAGCGAAAAGATGAGGACATGGTCACTAATGCATCTTGGATGTGGGCCATTAGATGTGGTCTAATGGGTTTGTGGTTGGGGGTAGGTAGGTATAGGGTGAGGGAAGGGAGGAAGTGGAGGTTAAAGCATCTTCACCGGCTACGAAGGGAGTAATTTATGGTATTTATTTGGCTGCTAAAAAATTGAGCGCTAAAGCGGAGTAAAGCGATGGGAAGTGGTCTTGTTGGACGCTAACGAACCGTTTCACCCATGCATGCCAAGCAACCAGCCGGGGTGAGACGCCGTCCACCCCAGCCAATCTAATCTCAAGAAAAAAAATACGGATCTTGAGGCTGTTGTCGATCTATGGATGTTCGAAGATATTCGTAGACTTTAAAACCTCATAAAAAATAGGGACAGTACACGTACTGTACTAAGAGCTTTTCGAAAACACGGATGATTTTTGTTTCATGAAAATATTGGCTGATGGCTTATAATGTTTAATCGGGCTGAAGGGGGGAACTCTTTGTAAGTTTTGTAAGGTTGAAATCGACCAAAATACCGAACCTTATTCGAAAATTTAATTAGAGTGTTTTTTGGGTAGAGGAGGAAGGGCAGAAGGGGCGTATACTAGTCAGAATTTCAAGTACAACGTATGATACCTAAATTCCCAAAAATCTGGTCCCAGACCTCCATCCCTTAAAACCACGGATAGACCCGCCGTAGCACACACGGGTTTCCCCCCATGCTGTTGTCGGATATACCCAAGGGAGACAAGACCAACGGGAAGACCTCCTCTAGCTTCGGCCCCAGTTTCTCCATGGGTGGAGGAGGAGCAGCAGGACGGAGTGGGAGAACGAAAACTAGACGCCGCGCAGCTATTCGCTGATAAATCTTGCATGTAATTGGGCCCTCAAAAACAGTGGCCCGCAATGGAGGTCACGCAACCCATTGATGGGGTAAGGGGGGAGTTGTCCTCGGGATCATGGGAATTGTTTATAACGGGCGTCTTGAAGAGATGTACATAGAAAGTAACAAGAATAAAAACCAAAAACGCAGAAAAAAAACAATCAAATTCTTGGCGAATTTTTGTCCTGAACCGACGATTTTTCTCATTTTCCCATCCTAAAAAATGTGAACTTCGGTAAGCTTTTTCTCGAAACCTATCATCCTTCAGCCTTCTTTGAAGCATGCAATATTTACAGTATTTTAAGCTCTATCGAATGAGCTATACCAGCAACAACTAAAAACCATCCCTTGTAAAGCTACGTTTTGAAGCGAATACTGGACTTCCCTAGAATTCTAACGAATCCGACGCACAAAAGACGCAGCCTGAATGTCGAAAAAAGATGCCAAAAAGTAATTGAAGTCGCCCCCGCATCGGCTAGCCAAAGAAAAAGGCGAAAACGCAACAATTCGGCGATTTACGAGCCCTCCCCCTTGGACACCGTCCCTTCGTCTCGCGCCCAATTTTCTAATTTGTGCTTCTGGGCCCCGCCGCGTAATTTCTCTTTGGCTCTCGGGGTCTCGCGCATTTTTCCGGTTTTCGGACAATAGAACTTTCGACCTCAAACGTCTATTGTGTAAATAAAACTTTTAAAATTACGTATTATATTTTAACAATCACTTATTATTTATGTAGCTGTTTCTAAAACTGAAGGTTTCGAGAAACAAACAACAACACCAGAACGTAAATTCATTAAGAAAATAAAATGTGCATTCTGGAAGCTTTCCCAGACGTCGCCGGCGGCTCTTAAAAGGCTCGGATTTCCTTTGCGGTGGGGGTCTTAAGCGAAAAGGCAAATAAATGGAGGGAACTCGTTCGAAAAAATAAATATTTTCTGAGAAAGAAGAAGGAATCGTTGTGGGAGCGGGCGCAAATTTTTATTATTTTTGTGCGTTATGTGCGAATAAATAACTACGAACAACGAATTTGTATAATTTAACTGCTTCGAAGCCTCAATAAACAAATTCTTTAATATCAAATAGGCAAGGCTCTTTTTAGGATGCAACGATGATCGTAGCCCGAGATCAGCACAGCTAAAAAAGACTTGCCTTAAAATAAAAAGGCACACCAGATGCAGTGTAGGCAAAGCGAGCGAGAGTTTTCAACGTTAAAGAATATTTCCCTGGGGGCCAACCAATGTCTGGTGGGGAGGGCGAATAGCTTGACAGCTCAAGGAGGGCTATGTACCTTTTGAGGGATGGGCGATTGCCCTCTAGCTACGATTGATGCTCGTTCCTGCATAAAATTCCGTTTTTGGAAGAGCTTCTGTTAGATTTTGAGGATTTCAGGGTAGTTGTATCAATTTCGGAGTGCGACTTCCAGGTAGGTTGAGTGTGTTGACAAATTGATGGGATAGTTTTATTGGAAATTCGTATATACAGAGAAGTCTATACAATCCTCGGTCTTTGTTTCTTTTTGTCGTTTGGACAGTTGAAAGTAGGAAAAACCGAAACCCGGGAGGAGCTGGAGACGGAAGATGAACCGTGGTGATTCTGAAAGCCATCATCAACGCTACAATGGTACTTTAAAAGTTTCAAAAGCAGAAAAACAAGGTTTAATTAGAACTAATGATTCTTCAAATCAAGACCTACCAGGGTTTTTCAGGCTTCTCTTTGAGTGGTTGACCCTGCGGGTCCTTGTCCGCTTGCTTCTGGAGTTCACGTTTTCGTTCCTAAAATCTATTGAAGTTAAATGATATAAAATTTTACCTCATTCAAAGCTCTGTGCCTCTCCGCAATTTCCATGCGTATGTATCTTTCCTGGATCTCCTCAACCGCAAACATCTAAAAACTTGGTTGAGCTTGCCCTCTGCCACTTAGCATTTTCACAATAAGCCTAACCAACCGAGATCATTGAATCGTAGGCCCACATGGCTATTTTAAAAAAATTGCGGACGTTTGGAAGCTGTCTTGTGACTATCGGGGTCTTTTGTAATATCGTTTCGGCTCCGCCCATTATGGAGGAGCGGTAAGAAGGGGAGAATGTGGAGAAGCTAAAGCACCGTGTAGAATACAAATGGGTCTATGCGGTCGAGATGATCTTTCCAGATATGAAAAACAGGCAAGATATTAAGTGAAACAAGAGGATTGTGGGTTGTTACCGCTATACCTCTTGGAAAAGTTGAATTTTCATTGATTTAAGTAGCTGATTTTAGAAAGATGGTTTTGCAGCGGTTCTATCTGGGATCTTTGCATCCAGGGAAATTCTGTACCATCCACTATACGCCAGAGATTTTTCGGTAGACGTTCCCAACCGTTATTGCGTGATTCACCGTGGCCGTCTGCTCAATGGGAACATCAAGTGCCCCAAAAGCATATTTTTCAGAAAAACAATTTTTATTAGCCGCCGAAGATAAGCGCCTTGCCGAACCTAAACTCATCACGAATTCCTATGATGTCCCAGACGGTGTATCGGCCGAAAAGGGGCTTCGTTCCTCATCTGTATTCAGCAGACAGACATTTGTGGGAACATTCTTCTTGGCCAACATCTCTTCAACAACAGCTTTGCGATACAGCAAGGGGACCAATTTTTCGCGCCCCAAAAATAGTTAAGTGAAGCGTAAAAATCAAATCACCTGCTGACACCAGCCCTTTAATGCTCCTTAATAATGCAGTAGCTAACTAATGCCGTTTTATCACTTTATACGAGTGTTCACTCTATTCATATGTTAAAAATACTGCCTGTAGTATATTACACAGAAAATATTTATTATGACCGATTCCTCACAAAGGTTACCTCGTATTTTTCAGAGATTATTTGGCACAAATGGGGCAAATGGGGCGTCAATGCATACTATTCGATAAATGGTGGGCACACCCATAATAAAAAAAACTAGATTTTGAAGACAAGGATATCAATATTGCGGTGCGGATAAGAAAGTGTTGGGGGGGTCAGCAAGGGGTTTCTGGGCCGGAGATCATCAAATCTTTGATGATTATCCTGGTGGTTGGTTTGTGCGGCTGAAAAATTGTTTATGACGTCTTAAAGGGATACCCAATGTTTTGGCAGCAAATATATAGTTATATATTCCGGGCAGTGCAATTGACGCCCGAATTCCGCGCGGTAACGGGGGGCCCATTGCCGTACAAAATTCGGACCCTTTCCCTCTTGTGGCGTCCCCATGCCGCCCAATGGCTTGCCAGTATGGCCTAATGGATAGCATCCAGGCCTACAAATCGGGGGTCCCGGGTTCGACCCCCACCCGCGACATGGTTTTTGCTTTTTGACTCTCGGAAAGGTTGGGCATCCCTTTAAAAGTTCAATAAAATCGTTATTTACATATATATTAGCTACAAACCTCAAAAGTTGAATCCACATCCGAATTACTCCTTTTCAATGGTACTCTATCGAGTAGGGCATGTGCTGGGTTGAAGTTCGAAGACATCGACCTGTAAAGGGTACCTTAAAATGGCACAACACCAAGAAAAAGCACTCATTCCCATGCTTTTTTCATTTATGCAACGATTCGTTTCTCGACGATTCAAATGACCAGAGGGAACAGGAGGGGAAAGTAATTACGGTAACTTTGAAAAACGTTTACTTCATTTTTATTTTAGACGACCACCACCAGGACTAAACAACGGGGAAGCTGGTTGAATGGCTATGTCTGCGCAAAACACGATCACTGGAGAAGCATGAAAGATTTGAAAAATAAAAAATTAAGTTCAAGCTAAGCTAAGCCTTATTTAAGGTAAATAGTCTTATTTTTAAACTTTAATGCTACACACCAAACCTATGTGCTTTCTAAATATGATGCGCTAATCTCGAAGTTCGAAAGTGCGAAAACCAATCAATTCAATTAATAAACTCTCGGCAAAGATGCACTTCAATCGATTAACTTTGGCTACACTATTTACCCTCTGCGCATCCGTGCAATGTCTTCTAGCCTTAAATTAGAGCCGTAATTCCACCAAAATAAAGCATTTCTACGTAAGCGGTTAATAGGGTTTTGTTGGTTAATCAGAAAAATGGTAGTTAACGACAAGTTAGTGTTTTTGGGGGGAGCATGATGTTGTATTAAGTTTGCGTCGGGCACTTCAATGACTTGTGGGCATTCTGCCAGATTGCTCGAGCCCAAACTTACGCCAGTATTTTCGGTGAACGAGCTCTCCATTATGCTAAAAATCGTGGATGGGTGAATGTGGGGTATTTTGGGGACGGTGGACGGGTATCGACCTGACATTAAAGGGTTTGGGAAGTTGAAATCCTGTGGATTTTAGAAACATTTTATATTATTTTAAATCTATATGAAACACTTTGAAAAAAGCTTTTCACCTCCCAAACCGTTTAACATAAATCTCAAACGGGACGCGTAAAATGTTGTAAAACTGGTAAGGACTTGAGACGGGTTATATAAAAACGAATGATGAAAATGGTTTGGTATGAAAATAAGTAAATCATTTTTTTGCGAGAAACCATTTCCAACCGGAACATATATCCGTTTTTTCTTGACATAACAAAAAAAGACTTTTGGTTTTTTTGGGTAAAATAGAAAACACGAGTACTGTAAGGGAAAATTGGCCTTAAAAAGGCCTTACGTCTGGATGCGGCTGGCGAACGTCCCGTAGGAGCTGCTAGGATTTCGAATTCCTGGGTTAGTGTGGAAACTTTGGCCGGAAAATTATAAAATAACGTTCAGAGACCTTAAACTACAAATAATTGAAAATCTAAATTTCCTGAATATAAGTAAAGAGTTTTTTACACTGGATAAAACGATAAGACTTAAAATATTAGAACCAGAAACGTTTGCAACTTAATAAACAACTTAATATTTAATTCAGGGTAGTGTTGGGCAATTTGCCCGGTCCGGTTTTCGGGCCGCCCGAAATTCGGGTATACCCGGTTTTCGGGCCGCCCGAAAACCGGGCCGAGCCTCTCGGCCCGAAAACCGGGCCGCCCGAAATTCGGGCCGTCCCCTTCGGCCCGAAAACCGGGCCGCCCGAAATTCGGGCCGTCCCCCTCGGCCCGAAAACCGGGCCGCCCGAAATCGGGCCGTCCCCTCGGCCCGAAAACCGGGCCGCCCGAAATTCGGGCCGTCCCCTCGGCCCGAAAACCGGGCCGCCCGAAAACCGGGCCGACCTTCTCGGCCCGAAAACCGGCGCCCGAATTTCGGGCCGACGCTCGCGGCCCGAAACCGGGTCAACCCGGTTTTACTATGAAAGTTAAAATGAACATCATTTTCGAGCAGTTCGCACAACTCGGCGCCAAAACCGCTCGAAACTCATTTGGGGTCGTTTGGTAGCATTCCTTCGAGGTTGTTGAACACGGCGAACGATTTCGAGACTTTTTTTTCTAACCGCTCTAGCAGCGTAAAGAAGCTTGATAGAATTGCTTCAAGCCGTTGAGAAGGTAGCATTTTGAACGCTCTTTCCAACGGTATACTTGCCGTTCTCCAACACCGTCGGGGACAGAGAGGGGAGCGTTTTAGTGCCGAAAGGTGTACCTGTCGAAGTTGTCGCCGCACTAAAACCATCATATCTCGATCGGCACTGGGACTCCTGGATCGAGAAGGACATCAGTCGAAAGAGCGCGAAAAGTTCTATCTGCCCCACGAGTTTCAGCTCTTTACCAGCTTTGCCCAGCCTGCTAGCGCGGTTAGAAAAAAACGTCTCGAAATCGTCCGCCGTGTTCAACAACCTCGAAGGAATGCTACCAAACGACCCCAAATGAGTTGCGAGCGGTTTGGCGCCGAGTTGTGCGAACTGCTCGAAAATGATGTTCATTTAACTTTCATAGTAAAACCGGGTTGACCCGGTTTTCGGGCCGCGAGCGTCGGCCCGAAATTCCGGCGGCCCGGTTTTCGGGCCGAGAAGGTCGGCCCGGTTTTCGGGCCGAGGGGGACGGCCCGAATTTCGGGCGGCCCGGTTTTCGGGCCGAGAAGGTCGGCCCGGTTTTCGGGCGGCCCGGTTTTCGGGCCGAGGGGGACGGCCCGAATTTCGGGCGGCCCGGTTTTCGGGCCGAGGGGGTCGGCCCGAATTTCGGGCGGCCCGGTTTTCGGGCCGAGAGGCTCGGCCCGGTTTTCGGGCGGCCCGGTTTCATACCCGAATTTCGGGCCAAAACCGGACCGGGCAAATTGCCCAACACTAATTCAGGGAGTAGAGAAACATAGTAAAAAATGGCACTCTAATATTTGGAAATAATTCCGTAAGAATAAAAATACAGAATTTATAAGAGAATCGGTCTTCTAGAACAATGTACATTCGAGGTTCGCGCAATCTGCATACTAAAGGATAGATTTTCTGAAGGGGTTCATCCATACTAACGACGCCTACAGCGCCGATTCTCTCATATCTTTCCCCCGCCACTCACATAAGTGCAAGAGCGGAAACGCTCCCCATATTGCTAGAAGAAACGATTTTGGTGCTTTCTAGAATATAAAGAAACCAAGGATATGTTAATCACGCTAATATACATAAATCTTGTTATAGTTAATTGATGTTTTAGATACCTGAGCATCTTGCCGGGATGTGGGTAGATGTTTCCGTTTCCATTAGGTAAGTAAACCTTTTGGAAATGCTGCCGGATCAGCTTTTTACGCCCGAATGTCGTTAGCATGGCTGTCCGGAATTTCTAGAATGATTATGTTGTATTTAATGAAAAAATAACATACCTTATTCAAGAAACAATAAGTTATGGGATTTGTGCAGGATGACAAATAGCATAAGATGGTGATTGCTGTATTTACTAATGGATTCCATAATTGGAAACCCGTCTAAATTTACATAGAATTCCGCAAATCTTTAAAGGTATTTACCGCTAGCGCATCAGCGCCCTGAATTATTAACCAATATACATAACTTGGTGTCCAACAGCAGAAGAAAATAATGACGATCACGATCAACATTCTAAAAAAGTATTTTTTAGATGTAAAAAGTAATACAAAGCACTCACTTCACTACTCTTCTTTTTGCTGCTGCGCTTTTTTGCGTATGCGTACTACGAACAGATTGGGCGGTGAGAGGTATTCTGGATGCATTGTTGTATGCGTATCTGAAATTAATTAACATGTTCTATTCACTTATAAAAACAGTTTTTGAAATAAAGCTGAAACAGGCTGTTGCTCACTTTGATTTCCCGGGTTGATTATTGTTTTCTCGGTCGAGTCGGCTTTTCCCATTGAGTGAAGCCTTGCGTGAGCCCTCGTCATCGACACTCGCTGGAATTTTGTTTTTGGGTAGCCCGGAATTAGACTACTGTCATTATCGGCAAAGCTTCCTTCAGTTGCTGCGATATCCATACGAATTCCGACTCGTAGTGAGCGAATAACCTAAACACTAGATTATTCTTCTTTTCTAGTCTGCATACCTGTCCGTAAAGTACTGTCATTAGAATTAATGGGACCATCAGAAGTACCAACGTCATGTAAATCTAAAAATGTGTAAATTTTTTTTGGAAGGTTTCGCGAATTACCTGATAGATAAAATGCGCCCATGGGGTGTAAATTGATGCGCAGGTTAGTCCGTGCAGCTAAAAGCTCTTGAAAATTCAAACTTGAAAAAGCTACCTTATTTCCAAAGTTATCTTCAAGTGTATAAGTGCCTTGCTCAAACATGAAAAGCCCGAGGCCATTTGAGACAATCGAAATTAGCCACACCAATGAAATCATAAAGTAGGCATGAGATCTGAAATTACACTACGATCTATCCAATGAATATGATTATTTTAACAAAATTTCTCCTAGGATAAGTTCCAAAAAACACAGCCAAAACCCAATTACAAAATACCTTGTTTGCCAAATCCTCGAATGTAATGGCCGACAAATTGCATAATAGCGCTCGATAGCAATCACAGCCAATGTGTAGGCGGACGCCGTGACAACCACAGCTAGAATAACTACGTTAGAGAACCCCCGAAAAATGCAATCTTACGCTGCAGATAGGCCAATAGTTTGCACATAATCGCGCCAAACATCCAGCAGTTCATTACCTGAAACGAAATATAATTTTGGTATTAATTAATAATAGATTATTGTTGGATGGATAACGTACAGTAATCACTAATGTCGGTGGCATACAAACTACAGATAATAGCAAATCGGAAACCGCTAGGTTCATCAAATAGATATTGGTGATCGATCGCATTGCGCGTTGCTAAAGTAGAGGATTTATAAAAATTGAGAGCGACTTACTGTAGAAATAACAACAATTACTAAACAGTTGCCGAGTACAGATAATAGGAATATTATACAGAAACAGGTAATGGTGATGTAGCTCTGGGAAGTATGACTGAATTGGCAGGCCAAGTATTCACTAAATGTGAAAAATTATATATGTGCTGGTTCGAGAACTTACATTTCGGAGGCGTCCGTTGAATGCATCGTATTTTGTTCGAAAGTAGAGCCTGAAAAAAATTCATATGAGAATATTCATTGCCGAGAATTGGCTTACAACAGCTTAAGCTTTTTTACAGATAAAATTAAATATTCTAACCAACCTGTGGCCATAGATAGCATTATATCATCAAGCGATCCATCGGTAGCATTGACCGACCCCCAAGATGTCGTATTCATTTTGTTGATTGACGGTGGCCCTGTAAAAACGAGGACATAAAATCCGGCTTCTCGGGACCGAATAGCAGATCAAAAATTTCGGAAATTGGATTAGCAGGAGAGGAGACAAGAGGGATATCCACGAAAGCGGGGCTTCAAATAGTAAAAAAGCAAATCGTGGATCTGTTAATCCAAAAAATACGTAGATATGATAAAAAATACAAATATAAAAATCGTCTCCAGCTCAACGAAAATTTGCGATAAAATTCAACATTATAAACAGAAGTTCTTTCAAAAATCACAAACTAAAGTACACCCATTCAAAATAACCAGGTGATAGAGCTTTAGAAGATTGTTTACACCTTCAGAATCAACAATTATGCCGCCAATATTTTAGCCTCTTTCCTTTTTCTAGTGCTCCTTTCAAGATAGCATCAGCAATGGTGGACAAATTTCGCTCCAATTTCGTAATGCATGAGAACGATGATAATTCATTAGATAGGAAACAATGGCCATTTTGGGCCATCCGTGCATCGAAGGCTCACGTGTCCCTTTTCGGGTATCGAGAGCCTATGCTCGGCGCAGATTCGCGGAAAAATCTGATTACCCAGTCGGGAGGCCAGTCGGGGGACAGGGAGGAGAAAAGGGAATAGCCTGAGGATATGGAGACATCCAGGCTTAGCGAGGGTAGAACAATGCACCCTCATTTTAGGCACGATTTTTGGTCGAATTTCGGATTGAATTTGGGAGAGATGGGTTTGAATGATATCAGGGCTGCGATTTGGTTTGAGGTTAAGGTGATTGGAGTTTAGTCGGTTTTGGTGATAATGCAACTTTACGAAGTACAAAGCTCGCCCGATAGAGCTTGAAATTCTGAACTAATAAAAGTTCTGAAAAAAGGCTGCACAACAAGTGTCTTTACGTAAAAGTGGCAAAATTGAAGATCAAGCGCGGATAAAAATTCGACAAAGCCTCGAGCTACTTCTTCAGCTGGCTATGTAAGCGTAACGTGTTTTTTATCGGGCACAAAATTTCGCATTCATTCACTCCTCTAGCCTCGCACATACTCAGCCTCTTCCCTTTCATCCTCCCCCCATGCCATGGGTTTCATTAAAAACAACGAATTGCCAGTCCAGAAGAGTTTATTCATCAAGCGAACGTGCTTCCAAACTAGAGAGCAAAAACTTCTCTATAGCGCCCAAAGGTCGACCGATATAATAATAAACAACAATTTTCCAAAGATGAGTTTTGGTCCGCTTCATGAGCCTTCATGAACTTTCTTTCTTCTTCGAACGTATGTGTCAACCCCAATTTTCGAAAAACACTTCCCTTTACCGGAAATTACAGGAAATTTCGTGGGTGGTCGAGGGGGACAATCGGCGATGATCCAATTACGATCTCCTTGGTAACCCCCTTCAGACCCGCTGACATCAGATCAGCCGCCTCTACCACGAAAGAATTTTATCGGGCTTTTTAACCTTACTACGGGGAACCAAGCTTATGTGGACGGCTAGACACCGCGTGAGTGCCCGACGCATTTGGTGAGGGGGGCATAAAAAGTTTCGATGTTTTATTAATGATGCGACGACGACGACCGGTTGACTTTTGCCGAAAAGAGGTTAGAGGAGAGAAATCGGGATGTGGGTAAAGTATCGTTGGCCTCGCGCCGTGGGGGGGGGGGAACGCCCGGAATTTTTCAAGAGGTAAGACGGGAGATGGGAACTAGAGGGCTATTCAGTTGAATTGGAAATCATGGGTTCCGGCCAATCTTAGGGCGAAACAAAGAAAGGTTAAAAAAATAAAGCAAAGGGGTTAATGGGCCAGAAAATGTATGAGTTATTTTCAAGGGTTTCAAAACTAACAGCACGACATCTAAAAAAAACAATTTTTTTCGATAACAATTTACTGAAATTCACTAATGCGCCACCATGAAATCATCCACACCAGCATCAAGTTTTAAATCCTCCTATGAATGGCTAATTAAAAACCATAAACACAGAACCGCATACCACCCAACACAATAAAAACCACAAGAATATAGTGGAAATGTCTGACCCTGATGGCGCAAAAAGATTCAAGAAATAGAGCCAGTTTAGCGATCCCCCGCTGTCTTTCTGCCTGTAGAAAAGCAGCCCGCGAACGATAAAATGATCCTTGTTCTATCTGGACAGGATGGAAAGGGGGTTTGAGGGGGGCGTGATTTAGGCCAATTCCCCCCAGCCGGCTGGTCCTAAGGGTCCTGGGGCCAACAGACAAAAAAGTATGGACCCTGGAAAGTTAGTTCCGGGGGCAGAGCCGCTCATTTTCACAACTGAAGCCAAAAATGGTGGGCGTAGACGAGAATGTATGTGAGAATATTTGGTGGTCGGATATCGGGAGCTAGCCATGGATATATTATTAAATTCAGACGGCTCGTTTAATTCGGGAAGATCAAAATTGATGGAAAGTAGAGTGTACTTATGAAAACCTGGGAAACTATACTTATCAAAAGCAAATGGCATATTATTTTTTACGACGACGACATCCGGCCAGAAAAGAGGTGAGTATGATGGCTGGGGTGGGGAGTGAACGGCACGCGGAAGCATCCCACTTGGCAAATAAATACCCGTGGATATTATATATCTGCCAAATAGCTGTGACCGCAAAATAAGAGTGCGATCCACGCTCACACACGGGGGAACTACGCATCGAAATGTAATTTGAATTGAAGCAAGGGAAGAGCGGGATGGAGGGGGTGGTTTTTGTGGTTTTGGAAAAGACATCGGGGTGAGTGGCTTGGTACTTGCTTCTACTCTACTTCAAGGTTTCCAGGAATGCGGCCAGGGTGGCGGAGGATATTTGATGGCCCCACAACTAATAGGATGCAAAGTCGGTGGATTGGGGGAAGACGGGATGGCAGCTTTTCGTAGGGGGAGGCCAGTTTTATTTCGTCCTTACACGTCGCAACGCTTGAGAAGTTGCTGGTCGGAAATCGTGGTCTGGGGGGAAGTTGCGGGGGCGATGAGAGGTGATGGGTTGGCTGGATCATTGGGTTGAAAGGTATTTACGGGTCGGAAACTGCGAAAACGTCTGAGGAATGCATTGCAGCCAAAGCACGATTTTGCAGGTTTGGTGTGCAAAAGCAGGGCAAATAAGAAACGAGGTATGAATATTTCTAAAATTTTAAAGTAAGGAGAAGTTACACAAAAGCTATCAGAGAAGACGCCAGAAACGTACGATGATAATTAATTTCGGGTATTCTCTAATTCGAATAGGTTTTATATAAAGAACAATTGTTCGAAAACTCTGATAAGTACGGGAGGGGAAATCGATTTTCGGGATTTCGATAGATTCGAATTTTGAAAAACCGTTGGATAGTGAAGAAATAAAGAGGAAAAATATATCTCTAAAGACTTCGTCATAAAGCAAAAAAAGTATATTCAAAATTTTTCTCATAAAAAACCTCAGTACCGCCCTGCTATCCCGCTATCCTGTTTGTACCATAGAATTCAGTATAAAATAATGTTTGATATTCTAATTAGACCGTTAATTCCCGCTAAAAAAAGCCTCTTGGGGAAACGAAGATCCACTTCCTTAATAATGAAAGTTAAATCTTCAAATCATTAAAAGCACAAACAAAAAAACCACAACTAGAACGAAGCTTGTGTTTTGGTCAAAATTAAGGTAGTGTATCCATCCGTAAATAATGAAATGCCCAGACCCAGTATCCACCACCCCAAAGATGTTCCCAACAGATCTTCTTGCTGAGACCAAGCCGACTCACATCCGGTCCACATCACGCTCTGACGCGTGCCAAACAAAGCACTCCACCCCATCGGGGACCCCGATTCACCAAAAAGAATCCAGAATTTTTAAAGAAGACTAGACTTAATATTAATGTTCTCCACACGGGCCACTGGGTCGAGCCGGCGACGAAAGAGTGGAGTGGAGACTGGATTGAGCTGGGGTAAACAGAAAATGAGTATCACAAAATGAAATGAAAAAACACGCCGAACGCGGGTTGGGTGATGTGAACTGAACGAGGATGGGGGGATTTGGTTTCAAGTTGATCAAGGATTTTCGTAGAGTAGTTTCCGGAAAATATAACTCGAATATTTAGCACCGTTTTTACATTAGATGTTTGAGAAAAACCGCAAGCTCTACACCCCCAAAACAAAAACCCTGATGTTGCCGTACTTTCCCATCCCACCAGAAAAGCAACGCGCGAACATTACGAGAAAATTGGGCATTGGCCTTAATCTGGTGACTCGACGAGGAGAACGTTCGCCCATCGAGAGACAGAGTTACCCAAGAAAAAGCAAAATAAAAAGAAAAAGGCGCTCATTTGGGTAGTTAGGGACCCGAGGGAGTCAGACATGGCTGAGATGACAGAGTCGTTCTCTTGCTTCTTTTTCTTTGTACTCAATTCTGGGCACCAAATGTATAACGAGAACGCAAGCACCAAAAATCAGGAGTGGATGACGGAAGGAAATCAGAATTGGAAAAGACATCTGGTATGGGTTTCAAATTCTAGGGTTTGTAGCACACATAGCCAGCCATTAGATTGACAAAAATAGCGTTGATTCCAATAAAGTATCTTTACTTCTTTTTGTGATAACAAGAGAAGGATCCCAAGCAATCCTATTTCCTAAAAACACACACCTAACCTTTATCTATAGAATACTAGATCTTCGATCCCTTACCCGTCGAACATTTCTCGTAAAGACCCCCATAAATTCACCTCGCCCCCTCCAAATAGCGATAATCAAATTGAGTGTCCATTGGCGATCGGAACGCCCGCCCCTCAAAGACCAATAAAGAAAATAGACAAAAAGGAGGTTGGCTCAAAGAACCGCGAAGAAAGAGATGGGATTCGATGGTGGCCCCTCAGTCGACTCGATTATCCCGCATTTCCGACACAGGGGACAACAAGCCTGCGCAAATCGTGTTTTCTGATTGCGCCCAGGCCAAACCGTGATATATTTGTGTAGTGAACTATACAAATCATGATATCTATTGGGAAACTTGAAATGAGATATTAAAAATGCGCAAAAAAGATAAAAAAAAGATTGGCAAATGGAATCGTAAATGTAATGGAATGGTTATAAAAAGTGACGGCTCTGGGAAACGACCGACCAGTGACTAAAAAAATCCTTATTCAAATTGCTCCTTAAAACAAAATTCCAATAACAGCAAAGGCCTTCGAAGCCCCCGTCGTGTCGCTTCTCACCAACGGGAGAATCCATTTCGAGGTGCTCGTCGCCACCCGTATTTCCTTTCTCCTTCTCCTAGTCATTCTCCTCCTCCTCCCCTTCTGTCTCCTTCCAATCACTCCTTCGGAATTTAAGTCCCAAAAAGGGCTCGGGGCTTTAGAGGCTCTGAAGCTACGGAATAGCAGAGAAGGGCCCTCTTGGCCATCTCACACAGATTTCCCACCCAATCACATCTACTTGAGCTCTTCTCAAAATGGGGGGGGGGGCTGCAAGATGAGGTTGACGGGAATTTTTGAGGTATTAGCTCATCAGAAAAAGGGGCGAAGGCAGGTAAGATTTTGGGGAAAGTTGAACCTTATGGAAGGTTACCTGAACTTGAAAAATTTACTTATGCAGATGTTAAAATGCTAAAAATGCTGTAATTGCGAAAATATCGACGGTCATTAAGAATACGATTTAAATTTCAAATTTTTGGGACTTTTGCCTAATTACTTACCGACGAATGATCTATGCCAAAATTATTCTATATCCTTTAAAAGTCATTTTCTCTGAAATATTTTTAAGGGTTTTGGATTTATAGGTGCCGATTTAGAGTTCGGAGTTATCGAGCTTACGAGTCAATTTGACTTCACCAAGACACACTCTAGCCTCAACGAAACTTCCTAGTTCCTGCATGAATTGTTCTCGAAAAAATAATTGCGAAAGCGACAAGGTGCATGCCATCTGAATGGTTGACGGAGACCCGAATGGCCCCCAAAGGCCATGGTCCTAGAACAGAGGGCCAACATAATAAAATCGAGGGGCCGGTGTTTGCGAGATGCGTCCCATGGGGATTCTCGTCGTAGAACACAGCCAAAAAGACATTTCTGACGAACACCAAAGTCTACACGAAAACTGCATGGGTGATCCTGAAAAGATGGAAAGGAGAGTACAGGGCAGCAGTGAAAAATAGATGGCAGAAAGACTTCAATTAACGATATTTTTAGAATAGACCCTTAAGGACGAGTTCATGCCGTTTACTACCTCTATAGTAGGATCATTGATGAAAGTACGGAGACCGTTGTACTCCGGATGCGGTCGCCAAAAATTAGGGAATTGTCCTTATACCCTTCGAAAACAATGGATGGGACCTGGAAGCTGAAATAAAAAAGCCAGACAACTCCCTAGGCTTGGCTCGTTGGCGGCAGGCTAACAACCACTGAAAAACATGAATTTCGGTGAATAGACTTTCTGCATGACTCTCTCAAGGAGGCTGTCATGCATAACTCGAAAATCGGAACCAAGGAGCTACAGAATAGCAATTTCGATTTACATAAGTTTAAATCTGGGTTGGACATTGCGTGATCGTTTCTAGACAGACACTTCTAACCGGAAGCACACACACCAGTGCATGAACAATAGCATTCCCTGGGGCCCAACTTCACTCCAACTCGAAAAACTTTGGAGAGTTAGAGGGAAGTCGTTAAAGTTTTGGGACTATGGTAAAATATTGGTGGGGGGGGAGAGGGAGGATGGGGAAGAGGATGTTGTGATGGGTTTGGATTTGGAGGGGTGGAGGGATTCATAAGCCATCGAGAGCTCAAGCTGGGGGAGGGGAGGAGTAGGTCTGACAAGTGGTTGCAGCCTATGGGTAGGGGGACAAGGAAGTTTTCGGAAAATTCTTAAGACGCGTCAACCATGTTTCAGGGGCGTTTGAAATTAATTCATCTGGTCATTGAGCGGAAACGCGAAAGATCAGAATGTAGTTGAGCCGAAGGGAGGCTCCGGAAAGAACTGAAGTTCTGAATTGTATCGGCAAGTTTTGACTTGTAGGAAAAATCCGAAATCATACATTGAAGAACCTTGTATCCTCGTACTTTCCAAAGTGACAATTTATATGTTTTTCACTTAATTACTATCATTTAAAGCTCGGAACCAAGTGGAAAATAAATCATCGACCAATTCCGACGACATAGTCACAGAGAGGCGAGAGTTTTCCGAATGATTGATGAGCGGAAGTAAATGGCGGTTGATTGACAAGCACCGAAAAAATACTTATGCGAAAATCCATATCATCCTCACTTTTAGATGCCGTATTTCTTATTAGCCTTGTATTAAGAGAAATACCGTACCTTTAGGCTTTTGATCCGAGTTCATATCCGGAATCTAACCAAAAAAAGGTGGAAAGCAAAGTCCTTGTAGGGGGACAAAAGCTATATCCGGGGGATGTTGTTGACCTGAAGAGGCAGAAAGCTGAAATTGGGTGTGCGGCCCCGGGGGCAAATGTCGACTAGCGGAAACGGGGTGGATAGCCAGGGCCACCTGTTCATTTCTCGACAAAGATGATGTGTCGCCATATCATAGTCCATATCACCTCCATCATCCTTTTCGAAGCCTTCTCCTTCTTTGTTGCTTCTCCCACTGCCCTCAAATCCTAATCCCTCCCACTCGGGGAGCAGCTTCAGCCTCCTTCTTTTGAGCACCTACCCGGAAATCTCATTCCAAGACGATGCCGCTCAACGAGCCTCATGATGCACGGGAATTGAGGCTAGTCTGACTAGGAAGTAGGGGTATTTATAGGTATTTAGAGTGTCTGGTGAGTTTAAAACGGTTTATAGCATAACTTTGAAAGGAGACCAACTAGAGAAAGAAAGGAAAAATTGTCTCAGAACAGCATCGTTTTCAAAAAATTCCAACCGCCAGTTAGCATTAAAACGACATTCACATGGCTTCTTCTTATATGCAAACCATTGCCACGTAGCACAATCCAAAAATGGGAAAGGAAACAGCTACCTGCAGATCTGAAGGGCACGGGTTGGTATTGAAAAGGATGGATGGCCAACCCGTTGCATCCCGCCATTCAACCCCCAAAATTCGATTCAAAATTTTCGGGGGAACGCCATCGGTCAGTGCTGTTTTGAAGGGCAGCAAAGGACCAATTTCGACCGCGTAGGCGTATTGCTCGCATCAACAAAGCGGCTTAATGCATAGAAAATCAATTGGGGTGGAAAGTGGGATGCTTGATTGATGTAGAATGTTAAATTCCTAAATTCTGGTTTAAACTCGACAATGAGCATCAACACCAGTCAAAGTGACATCCAGACGGGGCTGGAGGAGGCATCACATATCAGCCAGAAAGCTCCTATCCCTCCCCGGAGACTTCTTCGAGAATACCCCAACAACCCAAAAGTTTGATGAATAAAGCCGGGCCCACTCTTGGTCGGTTGTTCTCTCTTTTCGGAAGTCACAGAAAATAGAGAAAGAAAAAAATAAAAAAAAAAGGCATGAAGTCAGGTAAAAATCGCAATTAACAGTGCCAAAATATTTTCTAGTCAAAGCTTTTCAAGCACGACCTTTTCAAGAAAGACCTCCGACTTTGGAGGGCAAAAGGTCCAAACCTCAAATAATGGCCGGGCCCAATTTGGCCACCCAAGGCCAAATAGGTGTTCTGGGGAAAGGAAAAATGGGAACGTCGCCAATGCCTCAATGCCACCGAAGATGTGGCTTATTATGAGGCTACAATAATTTCGGGATTGCGCTAAGCACATGAAGTTTGACAAATGTCACCCACTAAAGCCCAAACGAACCAATTTTCGTGCTTTGGTGGTTCCGGTGTGCTCGTGTCACCATTCAACAAAACAAGCGGCATGTCACTGAACTTGTCAAACGGGATGTGCAAAAGGCTGCAAAAACGGGATCATCGGCACGAGTTGTTAAGAAAAGGCCATGTTCTACCGGATCGATCTGCTGATGACACCTGCGGATATTTTTGACATTTACGGGAGCAAATTTCGTGAGAGCACGTCGAATGAGTTGGACAAGAAGGGGGGGGGGGGAGGACCTGATGATGGAGTGGTAACAGTTGCTCATGCACTGGATCACGATCTCGAGTTTGTGAGACGAGGGGGATATGTCTATCCAAAAGACAACTAGGGGTGTGAGACGTTGAAATATAGCTATTGGGGGGAAATAAATTTGGAGGATTGAATATTTTCTGAGATACTCAGGTCTTAAGAACAAGCTTAATGTTTTTTTTGCATTTCCTTGACCTCCTCAACGTCAGCTTTTCAAGGGCCTCCCGCAAAATCTCAAAACACCAAAGCTCAGCCAACAAAATTAGTAGCTGTGGATGGATGGAGCCCGGCGGGCGTTCCCGGCCCCAATCCACCGGGGAACCATTTTTCACCCGTTTTTCTACTTTACAGCGATGGGCATCACCGAGCCCAAAATGTCACTGAGAAAAAAAGGGGTTGGCGCCGGTTCAACCGGAAGATCGGGGAAAGGAAGGGGAAGAGAGAGGTGCGAGCTTTGTTGCAAAATATCAGGTTACTGCCGGGGCGTTAGGTCAGCCTAGGGTAGCGGTGTAAAAAAGAGTCACTTATTGGGATGGGTAGAGAAATAATAAGTTGAAATTTTAGAGGGTGTAGTTGTTGTTCAGTGTAACAATTTTTTTGAAGGGTCGAAAAGTTCTTTTCACGTCTCTGTACCTCCAAGTTACTGGTAGCCTACTGAAAACGAAATAATGTAACATTGTCATCAATACTATCAATTTTATTCAGTTTTATTTCCCAAGCATCATCATCAACCCATTTAACGGCAGCCGGTCTTCCTGAACAAAAAAAACTTTAAACCCTTAATTGTACTTACTGGCAAAGCTGGGTCTGAAGCCAGGTGGCGGTGCCATCACGGTTTGCCGTCGCATCGTACACACATTTATCACCGCCCGTCACCGCCGAGAGTTTTGTTTTGTCAGCACCAGCGTTCCACTGCAAAATCGGGATGGATTGTGTGGGAATGCGGGCAGCCGGCCCCTATAAATACCTATCAACCAACACACCTTAACAGCCAAGAACTGAACACCGTACTGCGAAGCAATCGAAGCAGCCTGCGCCGTCGGGTCTTGATCGAAGCTATAAAGTACAAGATCTATCAAGACAACAATCAGAAACTGCGTCCAAACAGAATACAGAACGTGTGAAACGAGCAGCTGGGGCCCTCCACTTATCAGCGTCCAAAAAACGAAATCCAGCAACCACCACTGGCCCATCGATTTGCAAAATGAAATCAGAAACAAGACCAACTTGGTGTTGCCAGAGAAGTAGACGACCAATTTGTTGGGGGTGGAGTAGTTGTTGACGAGGTAGCTCTTCGTGATGGCGCGGAGGGTCCTAAGGAGGTTGTGAATTTGTTAAGGGTTTCCGCACTTACAGAAGAAGCGCCTGTCCGTTGCTTCCATCTTGGTTCAAGTAGCTGATGGCAGAGAGGAGCAGGGACCGATCCTGGGTATTGTGGAAGCCTAAAAATAATGAATTAGGGGTGAGAAGATTCGCACCAGTGTAGTACAGCTCGGTATCCATCGACACGGTTAGCAGACCGAAGTTAACGTTCTTGTCACCGACTGGGTAGACGGAGATGAATTGAGAGATGGTCTTTTTCATCTGAAATGGAACAGGGCTTGAATTTCAGATTAGAATTACGGCAGCGAAGTCATCAGCGGTAACGGCAAGGGAGCTGTCGACAACGAGGTAGACATCGTAGTTCAATGTTTCGACCTAAAAAAGCGCACTAAGCTATAGTTATGCATACCGACCGTTTTAAGTAGATTTTTTATCGTAAAATATACCTTGCAAGGAACACCAGGGGCTGGGGTCGGGACGGTGGTGGGCATCGGGGTGGTTGGTGCGACATGCGAGTTGCTAAATTCAAAATGTCCATCAATAACTGTCTCCCTTACGGGCAAGCGTTGTTCTGGATCCACAGTTGAACGTACGCCAAGTGGTCGGTGTTGAACGACCAGAAAACGTCGCTAAATATTTGATATCTCTCTTAACCGAGAAAAACCCTACGTGTTGTCACCAGCCAGCTTCTTGGTCTGCTCGTAGTTGTTGCGGATGGCCTGCTCGCCGACACCAACAACAAGGATCATGTCGTACTAAAATCAGTGCTCCAACCGAATGAAACGTTCGATACCTTGGCGCGAACGGTATCAAGTTGGCGGTTGAATGGTGATTGTCCGGTGAATCTAAAATACTCGGTTTATTTTCTTTATTTTTATGAGAATTACATATAATAGGTGGGCTGGGTTAAATTTACTTACTCATCTCCCTCAATGACAACCAGCACCTTCTTGGCGGCAGCACGGAATCCATTGGCGGCAGTGACATCAATTTCCTCCTGTTGGATAGCCCTGGAAACCCATTATTTACAAGGGTAAAAATTCTCACAAATAAAGCTGCCGGTCCTCAGTGCCTTCATATCGCATATTGCCAATGGCCTGTTGAAGAGCATCAAGTTTGTTCAGATCCTTAACGAAAACTTGAGAAAACACGTAAATTTCCTACGTTCAGCAGACCAGCGGAACGGATTTGGGTTGCGTAGGTGTAGATGGCAACCTAAAAATTAACTAGAGTTCGAGAGAGTCTTTTTGATACCTGAGAAGCAGTTGGGCCGATGGTAAGAGATGAAGACATATTCATCAAAAGCTCCTTGACAGCCTCGAATTCATCCTTTGACAGCGCTTCCGATGCATCAACCATGAACACAAAGTCGGCCACCAAATTCTAAATTTTGAATGAATTATTTTATTAATTTATGACATGTTAGAAATTCTAGGGAAACCTACCGTACCTTTGGGGAGCAATTTTGAGGCAAGCAAACGCTTGTAGCGCCAACGGCCGCAACCAAAGCAAGAATTGTGGCCAAGCAGCGCATTGCCCTGAAAATTCGAGGTATGGCGCGTATTTTTATTTCTTAACGATAATATTTCAATTTTTCGGCGACTTAATATAGTTATAAGCGAGTATGGGAGAGGTTGACAATTTTTGGGTTCATGAAACTACAGAGCCAGAAAGCAAAATGATTTCACGTTTTCACAATGTCGAGCTTACAAGAACTTTGTTAGTTAAAAGAGAACCGAAAACGCCCCTAAACGGTAGCTGACACCGGACCTGAATGATCTGAGAGAAGAAGCCAAACCTCCGGGTTGAGATAACGGTCCACGCTGATCTGACGCGGTGATAATTCTTTCTCGCAGCCCATAATTTGGCACACCTGTCCTCGAGGAACCAAGAAAAAAAATAGCCAAGTACCTGAAACGCATTCAACGGGATTGGAATTATTATGAAAGATTGTGTTTGGTATATCTGAATGAAAGTTTAAGCCACAGACGAATATCGGACGAAAAATTTGAAGAACAATAACCTTTGAGAGAAGCAATAAGGTCGAAAGCCTTGGCACTTTTTTTGGCAGCTTCTAAGTAGTTCTGAAGCAATAATTTCAAGCAAGGCGCGCTGTTTTGAAGGTCGTGAAGAATTATCAAAAACCAAATTTCAAGGTTCTTTTAACAAAGACTCAAAAACTATAAGATATAAGAAATGCGGCCATAGATAAAACATTACTTCGACCAGCGCCCAGAAATTAAGGGTCAAATTGATTTCCGTCACGAAAAATGGCTTATGCAACCGAAATGCCCGACGGTCTGATGACTAATCGTCGCGACGCTTCGAAACCCCGCGCGTCCAAAGGAGAAGCCAATCCATCATCGCATCCCAGCATTCAAATCTTTTAACTGGAAACCGCCGCGCGATAGACTGTCCATTCATTTTCTATCAATTTCTAACGTCAAAATTCGCAAATTATGTAAAATTTCAGAATTCTTTCCGTTCTTGGATAATTTTGCCATTTCCATGGATTCGTCACAATCCATTCTTATTACGTCCCTGCTTTGGGATGCCCTTCAAAGTCATTTAAAAGTGGGTTCTTGTTTTTAATATATTAGTCCGAAATCACCATCATTTTGAATGTATGACGAACCAGCTTTTAGATATTAAAATCTCATGCTGCAAAGATAACTCCAAGGAGCATTATTTCAATGGGTTTCAATGCCGGCACAAGACGTAAGTTCGCTTCCAGGAATCCTACTCGATGTTTGAATAATATTTTCGAGGCTTGGCGCGCAGACTGGTTATTTCCATCTTACCTGACACACTCTTGCTAGTGCAACCTGTATTTTAAATAAGGGGGAAACTGGAAGGTGTTGCGACCTGTGAAAGAAAGAAATATTCCTCCAATTTACAACTCTTTCCTTCTTTTCAGCCTTCAACTCGTAACAGCCTCGTAAACGTCATAAGGCCGGAGGAACGCTTGCAGTGACTTCTGAAGCTGGCGAAGCCGCTGATAGGAAGGCCGCGGAAGATCAGCATGTCTCTCTTATTGAGGATCTGGCCATATCTAGTAGTAGCTAGTTTCCAGTAGTATCGATCCATAGTAGGCTAAATTCTATAAGGCCAGGGCGACGAGGACGCGTCGGTTTTTGGTACCAATAAAGGAATAGTTTACAAATCTGCCTAGAACTTTTCAATATGAGCACCAAATATTTAGCTATGCGAAATAATCCTATATTTCTGCTTGGTGTAGAAGATATTAAGTTTCTCGGAAATGTTTCCCGTTTATATAAGGCTGAAAATATCATACACATTTATTGTCGTTGAACTCGTTCACAAATATCCCTTAAAATGCATCAGATCTGTCCCGAAAACGGACCAAAAGATTTTCACCTGAATTATGTTGTAGATTCCGTTTACCTCACGTCTGCTATAGTTCGGCTGGTTTGAACGTTTCCCTGTAACCGCTGAACCATAGGAGCTCAGTGGCGCATTATTGCTTTTCGTTCATAGTCCAGTGTAAGCCGCCGCGGTCGTTCTTAGGAATCTTCCCTCAAACTTTAATATTGTTGATTTTCATGCTGTGATTCTACCTCTCAGAACGAGCTAGCACACCTGAGCTTTAACATGTGTGCCTTGTCGTTCCAGTTAAGTTATTTTATAGTCCATCTTTCTGTGGCTCCACCAGGGAGACACGCCCCTCTAGCCGCCACCGGTCAGCCAGCGACTGTCTGCGGGCTGGCCTATTCAGTCTGTCGCTCATCCGTCCCTTCAGAACGAGGGCTCACTCTCTTAGACTGAGCCTATCCTCAGGCCTCTTCTAAAGAGGCCTAAAAGACTGCATAGTTAAAGAATTAATACTTTTGCCAACAGAAGGAGACTAGCGGATTACTGCATTTGCTCAAGGTATTTCTTTGGTATCTATTACATAAATGCTCGTTAATGAAATGAATCTGCAATAAAGAATGAACTCAAAGATACTTGAACTACATCTACCACATAACACAAAGTGTAGAATGAAAGTGTGCTCTGCTTGGAATACAGATGAAGGCAATATCTGTAGAATGGTACCGACGGTGCTACACATTCATACAAAAAAATGAGAGATGGATATTATCTTTTCCCTCTGGCTGCCGCGGACATGATGATAGACAACATTTCCGGTTTTAGTTGAGTTATCCTTCGGTTTGAGCCCCTCTTATAAAGCTTCTAGTTTTTTTTATAAAACTAGGAAGACCAGTAGCCCATTGATTGATGAGATAAAAGTTTAATGAATTTGCCTAATTATAAGACATTAGGAGATAAATACGAGGTATATTTAAGTATACAAACAGATCTTCTCCTATTCTCCTAGAAACAGAGGAGAAAATCCTTGCCCTTCTCGAGGGGACCACACAGAAAAGGTTACTCTTGGCTTACAGAATATCTCGTATTGTTTGTTTCTATGCAACATTGCTTTCTGCAAAAAGTAAATTTTTCAAAAAACTTTATTAGACACTTAGGTACATTTAATCAATGAAGAAGGGGGATGACGAGCCATATGTAAACAGGCGAGAGAAGAACGACATCAATCATCAAAAAAAAGACGGGACTTAAGGGATGGGGAAAGGGTAATACAAATACCGTATTTTCATTTTTCAATTCCACGCGGCCCACATTTTGGAACGGGAACTACCGTTTGTGGATGAGGGCGTTCTGGATGGCTGTTCTACACGTCGCACAGCGACTCCAGGCTCACTCACACGACACGCTCTTGGTTTATCCTAGACAAAAACCTCTTGCTCCAGCGGCACTTTTTCTTAGTTGAAAATTTGTGGTATTATTCCGAAACTATCAAAATACAATTCAAAAATCGGGTGCGCGCGCCGCCGAATTCCCAACAGTGAGCAAAAATTTTTGGGGGGAATAATAAATTACTAGAAAAAAATAATCCTGTGGCTAAAGGGATGGGGAACCAATGGGGGGCGATTGAAAATCTGCCACCAATGCTTGCCCACCACTTTAAACCGGTATAGCTCGACACTGGGGGGATACCAGATCACATCTCGCGGTAAGACCAAAAACCAAAAAATAAAGAGAGGAAAGGAAGAATTATATTCGGGGGGAGAGCAAGGAGCCGTATTCGGGGCGCGTTCAAGAATAAAACTTTCTAAGCCATGAAAAGCATCGGGAAGTCAGAGCGTTTTTATATTTGTTTTTGGGGGGTACTAAACGTTTCATTCACACTGGGGGACCTCGATTCATCGCTATTAATCCGCTAAGAATGCCTATCTGCCGAGGGTGTGGGTGGGGGATTTAAGAAGCTTTTATTGGTGTTTTGCTAAAGAACTAGGGTTAGATTTTTTTAAATAAACACATGTTCTCTATAAATGTACACAGTACACGGCCACCGTAGCCAATGTTATTTTTGCGCTAATTAGGACGCTTTTTATAAGAGAATCTCTTAACCAGGGTACACCGGGTGTTATTGTCTTGTTGCGTGATTGGTGGGGGGCAACGGTGGGTGGGGGCACACAAAAAAAAACACACAAAGAATGGACTCGAAAAATTGTGAAAAACGGGAAGTACACGATGTCAGGGGGGTGTTTGGGGCACGTGTTTGATTATATTGGCAAACAGTAGAGGGAAGGGGTGGTGAAGAAAAAGAAGAAAATACAAGACAAATTCTTGTAGTAAGGGCTAACCGGGTGGCTAACCGGGGGGTTGGTCGGGGGGAGTGAAAATCGAAAAATCGAAGAAGGGACTGTTTAGGCGATGGCTGCTATGTGGAGGGCGTCTATTCGGGGGCTTTTCAGGGCTAGTGGGGACCCGCCTTCAAGTCGGAAAGGACTCCTGAAAAAGGAATAAATTGAAAGTTATGAAGGGTTGCCAGAAACCAGTTTTTGTTTTATGCCAACACACCCTATTCAATTTTCGAAAGTCTTGAATTCGATGTATAAATTGATTAGGCTATTTGGTCTGGTCTTTATGCTCAATTCTTTGTGCAATTCCAATAGAAGGTTAAAAGGAACATCGAACGCGTACGAATGGCACTAATGACACCCAAAAAAGCGCGCTCGGTTTTATTGATGGTCATGACGTTTTGAAACTAAAACCCGAATTTTATAGAGGTGTTCACGATAACCCACCAAATTTCATACGCTAATTTCCTCCAAAACGTACCGCATCAGATTTTGTGGTATGCGCCGTGTGGCTGGCCGTAGGCAGCCGGCGCGTACACCGTATTCCCGTACGCGGAGACATCAGAACTGAAATTTCCTGCAAATTAGGGCCTTGTCTTCTACACGGCAGTCCCTAGTTGTTGCGAGCAAGCATCCGCCCTCCGAGTTTCAAGATTAGTCGAATTCAACAGTTTTAATCGATAAAACAAAGCTAGCTTACTTAAAAACGGTTTTAGTGAAAAATAAAGCTTTTATAGGTTTCAAAAACCGATTCTTACAGAATTCTGAAACAACTTTAGTAGATGTAGTTCAAAAGACAGTCGGCCCAAACTTTTTTAAGCGGCTAGGAAGGGGAGGTTCACCTTGCCCTGCCAAATCCTCTATACCAAAGCCTAAAATAAGCAATTTCCGGTGTTGCCACAATCTATGCCGGGGAGTTTATACAGGGTGTCCCAAAACCCCCCCCCCCCTCTAGCGGCGCCCAGACGTGTCCGATTCTCGCCGTTTAGGTATCTATCGAAAGCTCTCGAAAAGGCGAGAAAACATGGAGGGGTGATTTTCTTTATTATGTATTTTTATTGGCGAATTTTACCTCCAAAATCCATGAAAACGGCTGATTTACGCGAGATCCGCATGGTAATTGCGAAATTCCTATTGAAAAGCTACCTGTTTTTTAGAAAAACGCTGAATATCGGACGAATCAGAATAAACCTTAGAAAATCAAGCCCGCTTGTTTTCTCGCCTTTTCGCGGGCGTTCGAATGGTATAAAAATCATCCTGATCTGAGCTTCCTACGGACCGCTAGAGGGGGGGGGGGGGGTTTGAGACACCCTGTATATCTACATAGCGAGCAAGGTGCCTTTTTCTGTCTCGGAGGGCGCATGCTTGCCCATAGCCTCGGACTACGGTACCCACCCCATGGCGTAGAGTGCAGCATCAAAAGCCGGCCCACCGCGACCGGACGCCGACCCGGGCGACGACGGGAGTGCCGTGTAGTTCGGCATGTTGAACACTAAAAATCGATTGCTTATGATTGCTCTCGTGGAATTATGTGGACTTCACGGCTACTGGAAATTTGCTTTGAAAAAAATTTGGAGATACACAGCGGCGGAGCCTCCTAGTGAGGCCTCTACATGTTTTGGTGTTCGAAGGGCCTTTTTGGGGGGAGCATTTCGGACGATTAGTTTTTTGAACTATTTAGAAAATTTTTGCTTTTACAATTTTTATGGGAATTTAGCAGATCAATTTTTTTCTAAATTCTCCCAAATTTTCCAAAGAACAACAACACCAACCACAAAAAGGGGCAAATAGGGGTGCGGGAAACAAGAAATTTTTGGAAAGTGCTGTAGAGAGTTTATGTTTTGCTTAGGTGCGCCCAAAATACCACAAAATTCGGGGGATTGTGATAAGGCGTGGAGGTACTGAAAAATGTCCGAAATGCTCTGGGGGGAATGATGGAGATGATCATGCAAGCGCTTTGAGGGCGCGCGTTCTTGATTTGGCACCTTGCAAGCCGGGGGCTGTCGCTCCGACCGGTAGTAGAAGCGGACCCGCTGCCGCTAAATATGGGACACTCAATTCGGGTCATGAATGCGTTGATTTTTATGGGTCAGAGACTACAGTTAGTATACTGTATCCGCTGGTTGTTTTATTGAGAGTGGGTTAAGGGACGAATTTTGGAAAATTTCGCGGAAGAGCGATAGAAACCTTGAATCCCAAAATCCTTCCCATCACCCTGATAACTTTTCTCAACGGTGTAATAATAATAAAACAATATCAGAAACCTAGTTGCACATCTAATCGTACGGCTCGAGCGTGCAAACGCTCCGAAAGTAAAAACAAAAATCTACGAACGCGCTACGGGCGACCCTACGTTCAGAGAATCGGTGGAAGGGTCCGGTTTTTGCTTCACCTCACAAAAATTTTGTTTTTACCCTTCCACCGACAAAAGCGCGCGTTGGATAACATTTGGCTACGGTAGTACATCTAGTTTGTAGCCCTATCAATATATTACGGACGCGGGAGTCTCAGGCAAAATGACCGTATGTGTCAAAATGCCGAGTCAGCCCGTTCTAACCCGTCCCTATTCCCTATTAACCACCTGTTTTCTGATTTGGCTATAATCTGCAGATTCTGTAGGCGGCTGTAAAGTGAGCCTATTTAGGTATTTTAAATCGTCTTTTATATCGTTACCATCCTTTTTGTATAGAAATCCAAAAACGACTCGGTGCCTCCACTTACCGTTTGGCATTGTGGGGTACACCATAGCATTTGGATAGCCAAAGCGGGGCAGATAAGAAGCATAAGCTGAAAGAGGAAGAAGGTGGTGAAGAGACGGGAAATTGGTGCACATACCAAGTAGCTGTTCTGGGGCCAACCCGTACAGGTTTCGGGCGGCGGCCGCGCGCGATTTGTTTAGCTGCACCGGGAGCATCACCTGAATATGGAAAAATGATTTAATCGCCGAAAAAGAGGATTTTTAACAGAACTATTTATGCATTATCAGCCTTTCATTTTTGCATCTTGTGACAAATTAACATACCTCTTTCGGTTGAGCCTTCTTGCACTCGACCATTTTACCATTGATTTCGTGGAAATGAATCTCGCACACCTTATCAGCCACCTCATCATTATCAAATGTGATGAAGCCGAAGCCTGAAAATTAGCATATCCAACGATCTGACGCCAAAATCTTCACCCCCCATATTAACCACAAATTTCCCCGTTATCCCCAGCGCTTGGCCGCTCCCTTCATATTGCTCGCCCAGTGGTGCGGGGCTGAAGGTCTCGCGGATGATGGGCCCTCTAATGCTCCGTTCTGTCTTAGGGCCCCATTCCCTCCATGCTCCCTCTATTCCTTTCTTTTGCTCCAGCTAGTTCATCCTGCTCCTCCCCTCCTCGATCCGTGGCCCCGTCCCATAAGCGGGCAATCACTCAGAGGGGCCGACAAGGGCCCTCTTCCCCCTTTCGTGGCCCTGGGCCCACCATTGGCCCTCCCGGCCGCACCTAAGGGCCCGCAAAAATCGTGGAAAAACTTCACGATTTTAGTTCCCGATTCTTTGGATCGGGTGGATGACGGAAAAGTGGTGAAAATCGGAATAATAGGCTTAAAATTTGGGCAATTATGATTCGAGTATCTTTGTAAAGAGGCTATTCTTCCACTTAGATATAATTGCTAAATATCTTAGATAATATTTTTATATGAAAATTCAAGGCCACTCGGCTGCGTTCATTTTTGCTAAAAACAATTTTTTATAAAAACGTGTTGAATGACCTGGACAATTTTACCACCTAGGCTCGAAGAGGCATTCGTAAGGGCGAAAAATTCTTAATGCCCAGAAGACGATAATAAAAGATCTTTGTGAAAATTGATTTAGGAAAATGAACGTTTCCGAAATAGCATCAAATATAATTTTCCGCATTTTCTATTAAACCACTACAGCTGCCCCGTCTGAAGTTGTGCCGATCACAACTCAAGCCCCGTCCATAAGTGCCATTGGGTGCTCAGGGGCAATCAAAGGACCCCCTCTCTCCACCCCTCCATCTCAAGCTCTCGATTCGTTGAGCCCCATATTGGCCATACGTGGGCCTCAGTCCGGAAGGCCCTTCCCCTTCAGTAGAAGAAGAAGCACATACACACGCACACCGATGGACGGACAGACAGACCCCCAACCACCACCAGCCGACAGCTTCCTCCCTTCTGCGGCTTCTCTATCCAGGCATTTCTATGCAAATTGCCCGTCAGCATTTCCCACTTTCCGGGGCTGGTGGAGGGGGGGGGGGGCAGGAACTACACAATCACCGATGGTGATGGCTACTGGATGGGGTTGGGAGGAGGGAGGCGAGGAGTTGGAATTTTAACGGAGCATGAGCTTTTTGGATTTAAGGTTACTGTCTAAAACCAAAAAATTTCAAGACCGGTCGTGATTTTCGATGAGGATCTTGGAGGATCGATTTTTGGGGCCTAACCAATATTCATCTAATAAAATCAAATTCTGATAAAAATACCAATATTGTGATCATTTTTAATTCTTTTCTTTTGGCATAACATTATCATAAATTTTTCCTAGTTTTGTGTAACCAAATTACCTCGGTGCCGTTGTGTCGTCTTATCAAACATGAGCATTGCGTCCTCAACTTTCCCGTACTGCTCGAAGTAGGCCTTCATGTCCTCCAGCGTAGACGACGCGGATAGACCTCCGATGAAGACTTTCTTCGTCTTGATTACCATCTGGAATGATTAACGTGTAATTTGTCGTCATAACATATATCAGAGCTGCGTCTATAGCTACCCACCGGCGTTGCGAGAGCCATTTTCTACAGTATGAGCTGATTTTGCGGTATTGCTAAAGGGGAAAGGTTGCAAGGTAAAGGTGGAGAAAAGGTCGAGAAGGAATAAAGTTGAGATGAAAGGATTATACAGGAAAGGCTAAAAATGGTTTTTCCGAACTTTTAAGGTAAAACGATGAAGTATGTATTTAAATGAAAATAAAGTAGGCGGATCACCAGATACAACAAAGCAGTGTACCCAAATTAATCGGTTTGGGTGAGGGGTGGCGACCGGGCGGCGCGCCGGATGAATAAATGATGGTTGGTGGTGGGGGGGCCCTCACTTGGGCCCGAACCGGGTCTCGCGCCCAAAATCGGACACTACGCATAATCTTCCCTTTTATCAAGGGCAGACAGGAATATGGAGTGGGTGGGGGTTGGGTGTTACGAAGCCTAAATCGCAAATTCAATTCTTCCAACTTTTCGGGTAGCTGTTTAAGAAGTAGAGCTAGTTCTATTGAAATCAAATCCACGCCCAAGGCACAATATTTTGTTAAGCTTCCAGTTCTTATTCAAATAGCCAGATTTTTCGATGCAAAGCACGTCTGAGGCGCTTTTTGAATCAGAAGCATTAAAAAAATTACATTTTGGTTTTTGGATGCAAATTTGGAGGTCTGAATAAGAGTAATAAAAGACCTTTATTGGATGTAAGAATACGAGATTTAAATAATAATCGCACGCTTAATAAAACAAGCGGACAGAGCCGATTTGATATAAATAGGACCAACACCAATTTAAAGGAACTGGCAAGGCAAAAATCTATAAATTTCTAAGCCTTAACTCCGCGCGTCTACTCGTCTAGCTATATAGCCTCAGGTGATTGTGGCAGTCAAAGCATCCATCTACTGAGTATTCTGGCCCTTCCCATTCCTTCCCTTCCCTCTCCTATCGCTTATGTCAATCTCAGGCCATGGGCCCTAGTCAGTGGGCCCTTCCCCGAAATGGCGTCTGTTTTTGAGCCCCCATCAACCCCTTCAATAAGCCTTCTACCCCCCGCCCACAACCTAATACCCCTCCTGAAATCCCCATCCTGGCAATACCCGGGCTTATAGGCTTTGATCAACGATAAGATCTATTGAAACCGATTTATTAGTGGCTATAGCTTAACATGCCCAGCTTCAACTTTATAAGACGAAAGTTGTAGCCACTCAGAACGAGGTAACCCAACAACCCTTCACCACTACCACCAGCACCCCTAAACAATGGGCCCTTTCAAGAAGATTGGCCGGCTTAAGGCAATGCAAGCCTGGTTTTGGGAGGGTGGCTACCTAAGGCCCTCTAGATCCCCTAGAAGGGGTAATTGCTGAGAAATCGGGGGCCCGGTGCCCCCCAAACAGCTTCCGGGGGCACGGATCCTTTAGAAGCGGGGTCCTACGGGTCTATGTAATGGCCGTAATTGTCGCTTTTCGGAATAACGGACGAGACTGGGTGACGAGAAGGGACGCGGTCGTTTGAATCCTATTTGGGGAAACGCCTTGAACAATACTGATTTTTCTGCAAGCTGAGATTTAAGCTAAAGTGTCAAAATCAAAATTCAAGGCAATTCTGTTGCTAAAAACCGACATTCCGCTAGAATACAAGCTATGTCCTGCAAAAAAAGTACATCATCGGCCCAGGAGAGCTGGTAGCGGATTTGCGGAGCGAAACACGCGTAAGCCGGGCGAGCCGTGGGCATTTTCCCACCTCCTCGATCGCCTCGGGGAATTGGTGTCGGATATCAGAAGCCTGGAAGAAAGGAGAAGAAGGGGAAGGAGGAGGCCATCGGAAAGCGAATACGTGGGGTGGAGGGCTTCAAACCCTCCCTAGAATTCCCACAACCCCATTCGGGTCTGTGCTGCCGGGGAGGAATCTTTTCGGGAGGAGGGGTTCCTGGAACGTTAAGCTCTAGAAGGTGATCTTCCAAAAAGAATGAGGGAATGGTGGAAGGGCAACAGAGAAAGATGTATTTCATTGCTTTACTACCGTAATCTAGTCAATTCCAAACCTTCCAAAAAGGTAAGAACAAATGCGGTGAGTCCGAAAGGCACCCATTCGACAGGCCCAAATCCTTAGGTGTCTACCCTAAAATTACCGAGGAAATGCTGGAAGGGGTGGGTGAGGTGAAGGAGGTGTTGAGCCAACGAGTGGTAGCTCTAGGGAAGGGAAAAGCCACAATGGACCCGCTGGCTATTCAACACTCGAATATGAAAGGGCAACGGGGCCACACATGGGTTTTGGGGGAGGAAAAGTTTGCGTGAGTGGGTTGAACCCGACCAGTGTTCCAAGCAGAGTTACGGATTCAATAAATAGCATTTGCAAAAGTTCTTAGGTTAATGCCTTGATAGGAGAAGTAAATTAAAAATAGCCATCTACAGCAAGGCGTAAAGGCCGCTAGGCGTGAAAAAGTTTTCATCAATTCCAAAAAAGGTATTTCAGAAGCACACCTAGAGATATGCAGATCTTCATAGGTTTAGCTAGCTTTTGCGCCTTAGAACATCTTCTAGACTAACAAAATCCTACAAGGTACATCAACGATGCGCCGAATACTTTCTAGATCTAACGATGCATCGAAAACGATTGAAGATTGCCGAATACTAAGAGAGCGTCGAGGGCCCAGCTTGGCCCCGATGGGGAGGGCAGGCGGGCCATAAGTGGGGTGGAGCGAGGGGCCAACCAAAAGGGGGGCAGCGAGTGGAGAAGCGTGAAATCGGACAATCCTGAAGCCCATAGGGGGGCTTTGAAGGGCCCAACCTGGCCGAGGAGGCCTGGCCCGGTGAGGAATGGGCCGTCACTCTTCAGCGAACGCACATTTGTCCCTAGGATAGGGAAGGGGGGAGAAGGAAGGGCCTTCCTGGCCCTCGTGGCCCAAATCATCCTCCTGGTTTGGACCCGTTACGAGGGCCCCTGGGGGCGCACAAAACAACCGGGCCGTGCCGTTTTTCGATTGGCGCGCGACGGGCCAATTTTGATAAATCACCGGCGGGCTCCCCATTTCAGAAGAGCTAGACGAGGGTGTTGTGGCGCGGATGGGATTTATTTGCTGTATGGCACCTGCTGGGGTGCTGAATGAAGAGCGAAAATTTTAGGGATCAGCTAATACATATCGTAATGTAAAGGTCAAATCAAATAGCTTAGAAGACCGTTAAATCTTTAGACTTACGAAGCCAAGCCATTCAGTCAAGAAATACTGATTTTTCTAGACTATTTTAGACGACTTCAGTAAAATCCCCCAGATGAATTTAAATACCTCTCGCAACGTCAAAATACATAAATACAAATGACCCACGCACCTTAGTTTGTGCCCGTTTTGGGAAGGCAACTTTCGGATCAATCTTCTTCCCATCTAGCTCGTGTTCTTGCAGAGCCAAAACCTTCTCGACGGCGGCTGCGTCAGCGAATGTGATGAAGCCGAATCCCCTTTAAATAAAGGCATAAGCCACATTTTTTGAAGTTTTAAAACGATTAAACTCTTCTAAAAACGAGCTCACCTAGCCTTTTTCGTGACTGGGTCCCGCATCACCATGCACTCGTTGACCTCACCGAACCGGGCGAAATAGTCACGGAGACCCTCTACAAATAAAGATTTTTGCGATTAAATGATAATACAAATCTGTAATAAAAGTGCATGTATTTGTAAAAATTGAGGTATCCTACGGGGAAAAGTGAAAAGGCTACTGAGTAAAACTAACCGGCAGTCGTCTGCCAACTAAGGCCGCCGATGAACATCTTTCTAAAAAGTTTTCCGTCTATACAAGTTAACGATTATAGGGACAAGACACGCATACAGTGATGATGGTTTTTGAATGGGAGAGTTTCTGGTGGATTGTATTAATGTAGAAAATGTTTGAATACCGCTAAGAATTTCGTTAAAAATTTCAGATGCAAAAGCACAGTTTATGTCACGAGCTTTTCATGGTAGGTATCTAGAGTATTTTTAATTTAAACCACCTAGGCAAAGTTTTAATTTAGAATATCACAAAAAGCATTAACTTTAGCACAAGAGGCTAGAGCCGAGAAGCTAATTAGATAAAAATTTGAATTTTCGAAATTCAAAGAAAAAACGCAAATTAATCCAACAACGGAAATTCCATATTCAAAAATCATACACGAAAAAACAAGATTGGGTACATTTGGAGGGGCCAGGAATTGACAAAACACACCACACACGCCACCAAACAGGAGCTATTGGTCTACCGGCCGCGAGCACTGGTCTAGAACGACTTGTCTCTATTCTATGAAATAACGGGCAGTCCACCATATAGACCCGAGTAGTGGGGGTACGGTATAGATCTATCTGTGTAATGCCGATTCCTGACCACATCCTCACCCAGGAACGAACCCCGGATCCTGTACGGGGGAGCCACCGTCGCTTTCTGCGTTCAGCCGCGCATCCGAGCCTAGAGAATCTGAGAAAATAATGTATTTTTCGCTAATTTTAATCCAAGCCCTTCCAAAAAATAGCGCCTTTTGCGGATATGGTCTCTAGACAATTAGAAAGTCCTTGAAAATTCCGGAAAATAAGATGGTTTGGTTTTTCAGATTAATTAGCTCTGTTTTGGTATCAAGGGGTTTCCTAAAACGCGCGTTTTTAGCGTACAAACGGCATTGCACATCAGGAAGCCTCATAAATTATGCTTTTTTAAGATTTTGCGCAGAAAAACCGGAAGTGCTGCTCTCAGAAAAAAACTTGCTCTAGAAACGAAAAGTGCTCGTTTTCTCACATTTTTGCGAGCTTCCGCTTGATAGCAAAAAGCTCAAAAATCCGGCCCTCCTGTCGCCGTTAGAGAGTAATTTTCGGAACCCCTGGTATAAGCCACGTATGCTTATTAATTAAATCGGCTACTTACAAACATCTCAAAAAAAAAACTAACTGGTGTCATCCTGACCGGCAGAAGCACTGCCACCCGAATCGGCCTGGGTGTTCTCCATTGCGCCTGAAAAAAAAGTAAAAATATAGTTTAAGAAATAACGCAACATTTTGTTTCTAGCCCAGACACGAAAAGTCATTACGGCAATTCAGTTGCCCCCTCCCTCATTTTTTGTTGTGACGCGCGTCGGCCTGTCACCAAACACGTAAAAGGGCAATAGGTGTGTGGGGGGGCAGATTTATTAAAGTGAGTCGCACTTATTTGTAAGGTACATTACGTATGCAAAGGGCGGAATTTTAGTGCTTGGCGAAATTTTACAAAAGCCTAGTGTGTAGTTGCTGGGTTGATTTAGATCAGGAAACGGCTTGATGTTTGAATGATTTGGGGGTAAGCGCTAGACCTCCCGAACCCCCCCCCATTTACCCCCAAGGACCCCCATTTGACCCCCATGGCAACCCCCACCAAAACCCCCCAACAGACACCCCTGCCAACCCCCAAGGGACCCCCACTCGAACCCCCCATTTCAACCCCCATTGGGCAAAAATTCTGGCGGTGTGTAAATTAATGGTTATAAGTTTTAAGAACGTTTTAGCCTGTTTCAACTTTTTTTCAACCCCCTTTTCAACACCCCTGAAAACCCCCATTCAACACCCCGCCCAACCCCCACCCTACCCCCCTCGCAACCCCCCTATGACCCCCATCCAACCCCCACAAGTATGGGGGTAAATGGGGGGGGGCCTTCAAACCAGCCCCAAAAAAATCCAAAGTTTATTTAAATGACGTTTCAAATCAAATCAACCAGCGGACCGGGTGTCCCCGTTCGTTCGTTCCTAGGGTGTGCTGCGCGCAGCTCGTGTTTGTGTATTTGCCGCCACGCCCTGAGTCAGCTATAGGCCTGCTGCCATTCCAAAACTACCCTCTCTACAGCCCCCCCCCTCACCGCCGCCATTGATTGACCGGTGGCAAACCGGACAGAAAATGTAAACTTTTTCAAATATTGTTTTGCAAAGAGTTGTAACCTGTATAAAAAACGCTCACCTGTTCCTAAGCCAGCTAGAAAAAAGGGCTGCTGTGCCGCGCCGCACACAGACGAACCCGAAGCTAACACTAGGTCCCTGAAAAATGCAACTTAACACAAAATTTCGCATGAAAGTATGCTTTAAAGGCTAAGCGAGAATTTCTGTTTTTTTTTGAGGATTCGGAGCTTGCAAATGAAAATATTTTTGTTTACGATGCAAATTTCGCTGTTGGAACCAAACTTTTGGAGGGGCCAATGAATCATCAGCCCAAATTTGAGTGGAAAAGCAAAAGCAAAAGAGGATCGAAGGGTCAGAAAGAGAGAGAGAGAGAGAGAGAGAGAGAGAGAGAGAGAGAGAGGCGCTAGGTGCTGAGCGGACAGTCTGTAAACAACTCCCCCCCTCCCACATCGGGAATCGGTGACCACCAGCAGTTTTTTGCGGCCGCAATTTCTTCCCATTTCTCCGGATCACCCAGCCCCACAAGATTATAACCCGGCCACCACCCCGCGGCCGATCGGCAGTGATAAAATTTTTCTGCAGCCACAGGGGTTTCCCCGAAAGGGATGCTGAAGCAGCGGAAATGGGTTGGGGTGGATAAATAAGGCATTGGAACAGACGGATACGGTAAAGGTTTCAAGGCTTAAGAAAATTGGCGGTTCAAGCTGTTAAAAAATTGGAAACGTAGAAATCGGAACGTCTTGACGATAAAAACAATGAATATGGCTAGTTCAAAACTCAGTAAAAAAAAACTAAAAAGCCCAGCTTATTACTCCGAAAAATTGTAAATTGTAAATCACACTCCACATGATATTACAATCCCTCCGAAAAATCACAACTTTACTCATTGAGCCCAATAGCTAATTGGTAATTGATTCCAAAAAATTACAATAACCACAAGCCCAAAACCCTAAAACAACGAATAAAAATTAAAAATTTACAATGCAAATCATTCACCCTACGAACTCTGCTCCCCCATACAAAATCAATATTTCGCGCAAACTCCACTGTTTTTCGCGCACAAACAAAAACGCGATGGCCCGACCCGTGCAGGCCTTGGGGATAAGGATCTAAAATGGGCCGAGTGTGGCTATTGGGTGTTGGTATGGAAAAAGAAGAAAGAAACTGAATAAAGAAGGCCATGTTTGGCACTGATGGCATGGTGTGGGCTGTGTTGGACAAGCCAAAAGAATGAAGAGAAGCGGGGTCTCGATAGCGTTCGATTGCTTCGGTGTCTTTCGCCCCGATTTCTCCGAGAAAACCAGATAACAACGAGTGAAAAACGGGAGACACCGCGCCTACAACTAATTGTAAAAATCGAATTAGTAATAACGTAAAAAATGGGAAATTACGAAATCTAAGATCAGAATCGTTACATATAAAAGCACGGTGTATTTTCTAAAGAAAGGCCAAAATTACGGAAACCACCAAATGGCAACGCCTCAAAAAAGGCTAGAAATTGATTCAGGCGCGGGCAAATTCGCCCGGGAACGCCTACAATTAGTGGGGTTCTGTACCAAGGGCCCGGATTTCGTGAGGATTCGCCTCGGCAATCCATTTTAATGTATCTCCGAAAAACGGGAACTCCTTTCTTGCACTTTCTGTTTTTACGGCAAGACATTATAGTATAACGTGTTGTTGGGGAATTGGCAGAATGATCCGCGAAGAAAACAAAAGGAATGATGGTGGATTTCGGGGGTCGTTGCCGTAAGATGGTACAGAAATATCGTAATAGAAAATCCCTGACCTAGAAATCAATTAGCCGGGAATCGTAATAAATATCTGCGATTAGGGCTGCCCAGCTCAACACAAGCGTCGGTCGAATCTAATTTTGGCAGGGTGCTAGGTGAAAAGGCAGAAAATGTCGGCCGGGCAAGTAATTTCCCAAATACACGACGTGGCCATGGGGAGATGGGGAGGGGGACGTGAAAAAAATGGGTCCCCGGATGGGGTTGACTGGGGGTGTTTTGCGGGAGAACGCCGCTACTAGATTTTATGGATGACGACAGGATCGACTGCATATTTTTTGTGGAAGTTTAATATTCAGAAGGGTTGTGTTTTTTTTCTGGCCAATAATATATTCTTTGCGGCGAACTGATTTTGAAAGAGGGGAACGTCTGGTGGTAGAACAGCAAAAATGTGGAATTTAACTGCATACCGTGAATTAATTGTAAATTGAGGAGGAAAATCGCATCCTCGACAAAAGCTAAATATTTGCAGATTGAAGGAAGAGCTCAAGATCGTAAAGCTTGGTGGCTAAACTACCGGGGTGCAGATTTCCAATGCGTATCGAGCATTAATTATCAATTTTGAAATAAAATGGCCGTGGCGAAGAAAAATAAATATGTTTACATTTTTGTCGAGTACATTGAAACAAAAATGGACCAATCTTCCCCCAAGCTATCGTCAAAAAAGTTTTTGGCAGGCCGGGGTCGAGGCGCCCGAAAACAATTTGTAGGGTTAAAGGCCCTCCAGTCCCCACGAAAACAGGGCGTAAATATATAGATCAAAAGCGATGGGGGGGGCAGACCGATGATGGGCCGACCGGAGGGGGTATAAAATAAAGCAGAGAGAACTAGGAGAACCAGGAGTAAATCCGGTGGCACTAGTTGGGGCCGTCTTCTTCAGTGGCTCGGAGGAGCACACCACCACCACCACGATAACAACCCGTTGGGGCTGTGGATGGATGGACGGGGAAGTGGCTAAAGGAAAAGAAGCAGAAAAGAGGAAGGATCGAAGGAAGGAAGGAAAGATGTGGCTCGACGAACCAGAGGAGGGGGAACGAACGAACGATGGAAGGAAAAACGGGGAGAGACGAGCTGCCGCTCCGCAAAAACAACCCCCTCTGCTTGGGGGCAACCTATAGGATGGAGGCCACGACCCCGGACACTTCGATGTGCCGAGACGAGACGAAAACTGGGGCCTTGGTTCCGCAATGATACGAGTGACGATTGGGGATGCAGAACTAGGGGCTGTCTCTCTTCATCTTTGAGATGTTATTTTTATAGAATTTGTCTCGCCAAAACCCATTTCCTACAAAAATTAAGGCATATTATATAGTTGCTACGATATAGAAATGCTCTAAGCTTTGTGAAATTGTTAATTTTGTAGGAATTAGTCTATCAAATCAACACAATGGCATCGGCTCTTAAACTTCATTTCCAAGGAAACTCTAACTATTATAAAACTGCCTAACATGAAATGGAAAGCGCTATGATATAACTAACACTAAGCATAAGACAAAACAAGTGTCTGAATACATTATCGGCCCAATATCCTAAGCCCCCCGATGTTTACGGTAGCTCTAGACCCAGGATTTAGCAAAAAACAACGTCGAACACCTCCATTACCGGACCGGATAAGCCGCGAATTAACCCTCAAAATTGAAAACACAATCGATACATCTAGACAACGTACCAAAAACCGTACGAGATTTCACTGAAGGCCACCCGGCAAAACGCGGCATGAAAATCATAAAAAAATGATTGGTTGTCGGTTCTTTTGACGGGTTGCCCTACCGCCGTTCGGCCTTTTTATTTCCCCCCATTCCCTCTTTCCGCCCATCTTGCGGCACTTCATTTTTTGCGGTCGACCTGGGGAAGCGAGGCCTCTTTTTTCCGGCCCCGATTCTTGCTTCTTTTTCGTCGTCGGTTCCGAGCGGCTCCTCCTCCTCCTCCATGGTTCACTTTTTCAGGATTCAACCCTCGCATCCGTTCTCTTCATTCACCCTAACCATGCCAGCTGGAGAAAGAAGAGAAAATGAGAGAAAGAGTGAGAGAGTGAGAGAGACGATGCGTGGAACGGCCGGAGAGGGACAGGCTGCCCCTGCTCGCAAATCTTTATTTTCGCCTTTTTATTTTGGAGGCAGCCGGGGCAGGGGCCAGCGCTGTGCTGCAGGTTATCGATTGACAGTTTTCAGTGTGTGTCGGGAGGTTTGACAGAGTGGAATTTGGGAGGAATGGCTGATCAGAGGCCAGTCAATGAGAGTGGGGGTATGAAGGATGAAGAAGAAGAAGAAAAAGAACAAGTCCATTGTGATGTCATC